AATGCAAGCGAAACCAGCTCTTCCGACAAATACCACAAGTGATTTAAAATCTTTTTCAGCGCAATAGTAGCTAGATTTTTGTTAACACTTTCAAAAGCTTTAAGGTCTTTTAATAATTGTAAGTCGTTTCTTGGTGCTGACTGACTGGTAGAGGCTTGAAACCAATATTTGATATAAATCATCACCGTGAAAATACATATTTCTCTCACAGCCTTTTCGTCCTTTTTCGTTAGCTTTAACTGATGCTTAAATAAATAAATTTTTAAACAGTACAAGGCTCTTGCCATCCATCTAGCTCGATGTAGACCAGCAGGTCTCCGAAATGAAACGCCTTTTTCAGGAACACCTCCTAAGAATATGATTGTAAGATTTAACATTTCTTTGTAGTCATCTCGAGGTTGATGTACTTGAAGTTGCTTTTTGGCAAAAGAAATCCTGTCTGCGGCCACTTCTGCAAGAATATTTGCCTCAGCGTCATCTGTTATTGTTTTGAAGTCGCTTTGGTCAATAGAGTCCCAACTGTTCTTAAATCTTTTGAATAATTGTATATCAGGACCACTAGATGGGGCAAGCGATTGATCCACTACACCTGACAACATAATTTCCATTATGTGGTGACGACAAGCAAACCAAAGCATATTTTTATCCATTTTGCGCTCCAAGAGAACGCATACTCCACTTCTTAAGCCGGTATTTACAGCAGTAGTGTCAAAACACAAACATTTTACTTTATCGCTCAAATTCCATGAATTTATAGCGTCGTAGACAGCCGACGCACAAGCTTCGCTTGTTCCACGTTCTAATTTTGGGACGGCGAGTAATTGATCGACTCCATGTCCTGATACCAAAATTGGCAGCCGATCTACAGTTTTGTGTCCAGTAATATCTTCTATAAGTTTACCGTCCCAATGAATTGTTAAAGACGAACTAGGTTTAAACTCGCTTTTGAGCGACTCTGCAACAGCTTTGCGATTTTTGACACGCTGCCGACGAATAGAAGATCTATTGACATTAAATTCTGATGGATCACAGCCTGCGCTTTTCAAAGTAGATGTCACGACCATAGTTGCTTTTCTGTCACTCAATTTAGAAACATCAAGACTGGAAGCTAATTGACTGTTAATAATATCTTTTCGAGCTCGTTTTTGAGGTGGTTGCATCTTCGTCAATTTTGATATAAATTCGGGGTCAGATGGAGTTACTTCCCCACTTGTTGTGGCAGACGATGACGAAATAAATGATAATGAAGACAATGAGCATTTTTCTGTTATAGACGAGATATCTTTGTTTTCACGCTCGCGCAATTTATCAAGCCGTTCTTTTTTCTCTTTTATTTTCTTACATTTGTTTAAACTTTTTCTGTCGACTGAACCAATCAAAAATTGGCGTCGATTTTGCCGCACTGCTAACAAAAACTGTTTATCTTCTTCTAAAGTCATAATATTTAAAGCATCACGATGAGCGATGTCAAATAAATCTTCTAACTTTTGTTGCCAGTTTTGTTCTTTTGTTTTCAATGCTTCTGAACGTTTTTTCTTGTTTTCTTTATTTTTTTTTAGATTCTGCCATTCTTTGAACAGCTTTTCAATTTTGCTGATGACATGTTTTTTTAATTGAATAGGTATGCCAGCTTTTTCCCACAAATTAATAACCCCACAAGCCGTCAAAGTCGCAGATTCACGAATACTTTTCTTTTCTTCATTTTTGTAGTAGAAAAAATATCGCAACACTTCGCCAATGGATGGTAAGGTTGATTGGCTTAATTCAGATAATAATTGACCGATAAGCCAAATCTCACTTTGATTTCTAGTAGTTATACTGAATCCGCTACTAGTAGACGCCATTGCAAATTGAAACACTTCACTGTAACTTTTACAAAAACAACACGTGCGCTCTTGTTGCTTAACAGAACTGAAGTGCGGGGCGATCGTAGTACAAATGAGGGGGTCGAGGAACGGAGAGGGGGGAGGGGGATTAGAAGGTATAGTCTATGCTAGTTTCACTCGCACGTAACATGTTATGTACCTAAATTTTAAATTAATGGAATCACCATTTAAGCTGTATTTGAACACTTTTTGTAAAAAATTGACAGCTGGTAGCGACCTCTAAATCTTAACAAAATCAAAAACAAAAAAACACCTATTTCGTATTTAGAGGTATATAATCAAATAAGAAAGTGCCCGGAGGATAATTCGAAAGTTGAAAAATAAGGACCACCCTAATGTTTATCTCAACGAGCTCTAGACATTGATGTGTCACATGCTGGAGTAATATAGATTTCGAAAAATTAATGTCTTTTCATGAAAAATAATTTAATTGAATTTTTAACTAAATATTTGGCTATGGGCAATAATTTTACGTAAATACCAAAATTTCAGCTCTGTAACTCATTCCGTTTACGATATACAGACCCGATGACATACGGACAGACAAACAACACCACCCTTACCGACCTCAAATCGCCCGTAAATTATTTTAGCTCTTTTTTTAATGTGTCCTCTTCCTCTTTGAAAAATGGGTTTCATTCTGTTATGATTTTTTTCATCTCAAAATTAATCGGCCCTGGCTTATTATTATCGATAAGTGTCAGAATTGTAGTATTTTTATTGCCAATTTTATCATTGTGTAGTCTATACAAGTTTCAGTTTCAGCAGGTATAAAGTGAATTTGAATTGTCAATAATGACCCTTATTCGAAGTGAGCGCCATAGAAAGGAAAGGTCAACTCCAATTGTAAATGAGAAAGTTAATCGAGGAAAGTGCGCGCAAGCGAGTCAGTTGTTGCCATTTCTAAAAAATAAATATCTGTACGATTCGATTCGTTAAGCTACTTCAATTTGATTATGAGTTAATAAATTGAAAACGGCTCGTGGTCTTATTAGACTTAGACCTTTTTCATTTGATTTCGTTTAAAGTCGCGAAGGGACGACAAGAGTTAATTAGAATCATTAGAATTAAACATAAATCTTCTACAGAGTTAAAAATTATAAACATGAAGGTAAATTGTTTTTTATTCGCTTTTGCCTTTACATTTAATCCGATACCTACTAACGGAAACTTATTAACAAATGTATTTCTTTGTTGACAAAATGTGGGCTGATCATTTTGTATCGCTTATGAAACTAATCAAAGGGACATTAGATTATTAATCATTATAATGAGTCCACGCTAACTTCGTTTCTGTTTAAAGCTAATTATTTATAGTTTAGAACAGGGAAATAATTAAGTATGTTAGGGCGGTGGGGTGGTGAGGGATTACGATGTGGCCCGGTGACCTTGATGCAAGGATCCAGGTCATAGCGCAGTTTGCCCTCGACGCTGAAGCCACGGACCGCACCCAGCACCAACGTGGTTGCTAACAAAGCCTCCACTGTAAATTACTCTGGTGTCCAACGGATTATTGTGTTGTTCACGGGGTATTCATGGGGAACAATAATCCCTTCTCTATATTTTTTAAACGTAACTATTAATCTAATTGTCTAAATGTAAAAATAACACTTGCATTCAAATGACCCCATTTTCTTATTATAATTTTGTATTATGTACTTGTTACAAAATATGTGAAATGACTATGGTTTGATTCGTATTTGATAAGCACATACACGCTTTGGATGACTAGTCACAGCAGAATCAGATGACTAAAAACTTTAAAAAAACACGTCCGATGAAATAAAGATGACTATTTTCAATTGAATAAAACGCAGACCGGACGATTCACAAAACGTGCTTAATGGCATCTGTTGCTGATGATTCATGCCTATTGTTTGTCTAAAAATTTGAATCCCTTTTTAGTAATTTAATATTACTTAGAATTCTTAGAACTTAACTAAAATCTCAGCTGGATTACTAGGCCTAGTAGCCTAACTATCTAAGAAAGCGCTCTCTTTTCACTTATTGCTGAAAAAAAAACTGTTTTAGTAAATTCTTTTAAATTAAATGATAAATTTATTATTGATTCAAGAACAAACCACAAAACGTTATTATGAAGTTAGTTTTCCGTCACCATAAATCTAACAACATTATTAGCAGGCAGGTAATATGGCCTGAGGTATTCGAGGCTAAATGGCATTTTCCCCTTGGGAAGTTAACCCTGGGCCCGCGCCAAGGTCGATGAGCCCAGTCGTCATTGAAGGGATATGACTGGATGACTTTGATGTACCCTCGTTGGTTTTATATTCTGTTTTGTCGCAGGCATCGCACGTGTCAACTTTGAATTTAGAGTTTTTATCAAATGAATGTTAGATAGGCACTTGTTGTAAATTCATTTCTAATGTGTATTTCAAGCCATAATTTTCACTATATTTTTGTCGTTAGTATTTTTTTTATTATTAATTTCATTTTAGGATATGTTATCCTCATTAGATTTGCATTCGAAAGGTATCGCCTGATGTACTCGTATATTTTTATAGCCCACATTACCATTATGATTGTCTTTTTTTTACATTTCTTAAATTTTCTACTAAGAACTTTTAACTAGATGAAGAACATGTGTAATAATTCATCTCTATTTTTTTTAAATGTTAAAATCGAAGCTCGTTTAGATTTGTCAACTACCCTAATTCTTGACATGAGGGTCTACAATGAACGTGTCTCACCTCAATTTATGCAAAGAAAACTTGGCGGGCAGGGCGGCTCAAGGCTCCGAGGGGGCAACAACTTCTCCCTTCGTGCACTGAACGAAGCTTCACTTATATTATAGGTTGTTGCATTGTGCATCTTTTATAATATCTACTATAATAATAAAGTTAATTTTGGATTTCATCATCATGTCAAATTGTAAAAGTAATTGATCTAAATGATCTCTATTTTATTAACACTTCAATTATGTTGTACTAGCTTACTCTAATTATGAATTTATTAATCAAATTATAACAGTCTTGGAATTTTGTTACTGTTTTGATGATAGCACAAAAGCATTTTTTTTTTAATTTTTCATCTCTACATTTTTAAAATTATGTATTCCCGGTTTGTTAATCAAATTATATATAGGTAGTTCAGATCATGTTAACATGCATAAGCTTTCACCATCACAATAGAGGTAGTGTGGAGAAAGGGTCCGTGATGCGCAGCTGTCCCGCGGGCGCCGGCTGTCGGGCGCTCCGCCCTCGCTCGCTGGCTGACCCCTCGTTTCCACTCCGCTCGCCGCTCGTCGAGAAGTGCTCGCAATACCGCGACCCCCCATTCGAGCCACACTGTCACGTCACTTCACCACTCCAGTCGCCCGTCAGACGTCGAGCGCTGCGTACGTCCGTAACGGCAACGCTCGCAAACCGACAGCCATGTGGTGAAGTGAAACTGTCAAACGTGAAACAATTTCGTATACCGGTGTTCAGTCTCAGTGGACACAAACTTTTTAACTATTCACTTGTGTGCATTTGTGTTTTCGAAGTGGTGCCACTGTTTTGGAAATTTGGATTATACGAACGAATAATGGCATTAGCCAGGTGAGCTATTTTGGTTGCTGGAGTCACACGGAACTAGTTTTATTTTATCATATTCATCGAAGGACTTTCCGTCGGTTGAGTTGTTATTTGATTTAGAGAGAGATCTCAAGAAAGGTACGGCATTATGCTTGTGCGTAACAAGAACATCATGTATTAATCGTTTTCTCAATAGAGTAGTTGCAGTGTTGTGGTAATCCTTCCGTGTTATTTATTTATCATAAGATTTAATTTTGTTTATAATGTTATCGTTACAATGGGCGAAAGTGGCTTAGCTCTACACGCGCATTTAACTTTCCTTGTTGTGTAAGCTAAACGTCAAACGACTGGCAGTAAGTAGAGGGAGCAATTTAGAAATCGAGTCACTTTTACTAAAACCATTATTATTAAGTAATGAATAACTAAGTAATACCTATTATTAATGTGTTATTAACGGTTAACTCATTAAGTTATACTTACCTAGTTGAATTTCCTTAAAATGTTTACGAAAGCGTGTCGTTGGTTGTATTCAGTTGTGTTTGTTCCTTCGCACCCTCTTTGTCTGGGACGGTAACCCTATGTAAAACTTAATCCCCTGCTTCCCTTTATTTTGATAGCGTGTTAGATTTTGAAAGCGTTAATGCAACATACATGGGAGTAGAGTTTTTTGTTGACATAACAGCTGAAATTTCTCTTCGTTTGTTAATTCCTAAATAATGTCTTATAATAATAATCATTTAACTTAGGAAAATGTAAGTAAAACACAATTCCTATGTGGTTTTTATGTTAATCATTCCGTTATTGGTATTAATTAGCTAGATTGGTGGCTGATCTCAACATATTTATGTACTCGTCATAAGATTTTGATGCTCATAAATAAAGGCATTCCATTTTAATACAATGAATTTGAATGTTCCAAAATTGTCAGAAGGTGAATAGCAGGGCAAAACTCTCTCAACGAAGAACCCGATTTACCCTAAGCAGGTAGTAAACGACAAACCGGAAAGCGTTCATCGCCTTCCAATACTATTTTTCGTCCCATTTTGAAGACGACATAAACGTTATTTTATTTCTTAATGTCTCTACATTATTTTGTTTTAGGATAACATCAATCATTTCAATAGATAAGACAATATTCAATATTGTACGATTTAATGAAAGTAATTGATTTTTTTAATTGTTGAAATATTCGAATTACATATATCTAATTAGGTAAGGTTCAAATTAAAGCCCTTGAGACACTCCTCTGACATTAAATTTCTTTCTAAGCATACATACTTAGTTGCATTTGTTAGCTGGTTTGCTGTCTTCCCTTCTCGCCTAAAGCTTGAGACGTTAAAACTTAGTTATGTATATATCGATGTGGGTAGAAATAAGGATTTGCGGAGATATACGCCTTGGCGGGGTCGTTAAACTCGGCCGAGAATGCATTGAGAAGCAGGCGAGTTGCAAACACCGGGAAGGTGGCATCTCAGTTCCTCAGCTCGACCCTTATTCACCAACCGATCTTGTTTTTTGTTAGATCGCCCTAACATATTACTTTTTGCGTATTCTGAACCTAAGTTGATTTAATTTGATGTGTTCCTAAGCTGTTCCAGAAGTAACTTTTGGACTTGAACATTAGGAATATAATGTGAGAAGTGATGTGAATGGAATAAGCTTGTAACTAGTAGTGTGCTGCAAACCACAAACGCAGGATTTTTCACACAAAATTATTTTTATATTAATTATTCCCTAATTAAGGATTTGGAAACAGGGGTCACTTATATGGTAATTATGTAGCTGTTAGACATATCTTTAACGATTGTACATCGTACTTACATCAATTAATAAATAACCCTAATTACACAATGATGAAGTCACATTTAGCATTTCTTACGTAAACTGTTTGGAAACGGAATATGTATTTCATGTTAAGATCCGATACTATCTCTTGATAGACTTTTACTTTATTTTCCATTAAGTTAGAGCTGGTCCATAATTCTTTTCTTTCGGTGTAAGTCCAACATTGTTATTTTTTCTGTGTACTAACAGAAAATGCGAAAAGAGCAAATGCGAAATCAACAAAGATCACCATTCATTTGCTCAGCAAATCCTACACCTTATCACCTTAGCATTATGTTGGAGCCAATCCTTTCTATTCAGTATTGATTGTGTTTCAAATAGGTTGAGCGAGGTTATTTCGCAAGAATGTATCAATTTAGTCGAGGGCCTGTGCGCTATAAAGCAAGAGATTGTGGCCTGCTCTGTGCTCCTGTTTCGCTGACAGCGGAATGCGATAACTAAAGTGGGTTTTGGCGGCACACAAGTCGTATTTTGGTTACGATAACGCCAGTTTATTCAGAACTGTCCGTTAGGAAAATTAAAACGGTGTTGCTCTCATATAATGGTACTTAAACACAAAAGCATGTTTCATTGAATTCATAATCTTATTTGATTTTCCCTGGCTTTTATCCAATTTCCTAACACTAATATAGCGTTCTGCCTGATATATTTTTTAATAAGTATATATTTTATTAGCATAAATACGTTTACTTACCTAATATGACTTTTACGTAATGACGCTCATCATTTAAACTTTGTTTGCAGTAATTATGTGTTTTCAACTGAGTTTTATTATCGCTTTGTATACGTTCTACAAGGCCAAGGCTATTTAAAAACGCAGCTTATATTTGTTTGAAAAATTCGTTCGGCTACGGCAAAATGCTCATTCCTATAATGTATTGACTTGGAAATCATATATCAATCTATTTCATGTTTCAATGAAATACCTACCCACGATTACCATGGGATATTGTCAATATTGTCATAAAAGTATCATCACCTACTCTCTTTTATGAATTGAGAGATCAGTTTACACGTGTAAGTTCTTGGTGAAACTTCGTATTTTGAATATCAATCTATTTCATGTTTCAATGAAATACCTATCCACATTACCTACCATGGGATATTGTCGATATTGTCATAAAAATATCATCACCTACTCTCTTTTATGAATTCAGAGATCAGTTTACACGTGTAAGTTCTTGGTGAAACTTCATATTTTGAATAACACATCTGGCGATGGAAAGTGCGTCGTTTCTTCGGCGTGTTGCGTTGTGTTGCGCCTTCTCTTTTGAGCGATGATCTCGATTATAGTTTCTCCAACGCGTAGCTCTGAACGTCTTGCTTTTCTTTTCACTAACGCCTACAAATCAAAATTATGAAGACATCGTCTATGGCAGGACTTGCCTTATTACATTGCGACAGTCAAATTAAGGTTTTCAGTTGGACAAAACACTAGCAAAAATCTTGAAATATTAAAATATGTAATACCATACGACTTTTCTTGAAGACCAAAATTTATTCAATAACTAGTTTAGAATAAAATGTAGAGGAATTCAGGATTTAAAACTTCATAATTTAAGATTTTTATTTTTTCTTATTCATATTTTTTCTTTTTTGTAAAGATCTTTCGAAACTTTCAATTTATGCATATTTATAAAAAATGATCTATATAACTAAAATATGTTGAGATTTAAAATTATATCCGTGGCCGATTTGGAGCACGGCAGCAGAGGCGTTAATTTGCCGAGGGAGCAATTCAGAACGGGGACATCGGGCGTAGGTACGTACAGTTCAGAGTAGTGTTGCCATGATATCTGATTTTCATGGGTATAAAAACCAGACCAAATGAATCTCTTTCCAATCGGAACGCATGATTTTTGTGTTATGTCTATTGCACGTTTTTTGTGAATGTTGATTAGTGATATTGATTAGTCGCAGTAAATATAATCCCACTAAAAACATTTTCATGCAAAATGTTGTCAAGACGAGATCATATAACTCGCACTGTCAAAAAGTTATTGAACTCATGTAGAACCAAGCTTCTAACTCTACAAGGCCTTACTTACAAGCTCTACACCGTAGTCAAAATATGTGGATTGTTCATTTCGCTTTATTCACATGGGCGGAAGGCGAAAAATTTATCCACTGTTCATTACTTTTCTGTTATGTAATAGTTCTTGTAGTAACGAAACAGCCTGTAGCCAAATTTTCAAACTTCTAGCGTCAAAATTGCGTAAGTGTCATACAAACTTCCATCCCCTAGTTTAAGGGTTTGGGGGATAAAAGTCAGAAGTTTTATATATTTTTTTTTAAATACAGGGGTCTAGGCTCCGAATATGATTTTGTCCCATTCGGTGTCGAGACCCTTGGTCCGTGGGGTCCTAGCGCTATAAGGCTTTTTAAAGAAATAGCGAAAAGATTAGTCGACATCACAGGAGACCGAAGAGCTGGCAGCTACCTCGGACAAAGAATTAGTCTAGCTATCCAAAGGTGGAACGCTGCCAGTATCTTCGGAACCTTGCCTAAAGGGACTCCTTTTAATAATGTATTTTAGTTATTATATTTTATTTTTTAAGGTTTTTATTATAATTATGTATTTATATGACTTCAAATGTAGAATATTAATTAATTATATAAATTTAGTATATTTATATAGAAATACGTATTAAACATCCATTTACTGGAGTATTTTTTGTTGTTTATGTACTAATACTAGCTTACATACCCAATTTCCGTTTTCTAGTACAAGAATTTTGATGATCATCAGTAAGTCAGTGACGTAATCTAGTCTAGTAAATCTAGTGTTAGAGCTAAGCAATTAAAAATATACAGTATTTAACAATTCAGTTATTGACAACATAGCCAGAGAAATTTGTTTTTCCTGGTATAATTCAGACCTAAGTTAGTTCAAAATATCGACGAAGCGTTTTGTTAAATGGTAGTGCCCTTACGCTTCGCTTGGCTCGCCTTGCTGTCTTGGCGGGGGCACTACCGTGCCCTCAAAGCTAATCATGTATCCCAACTACATGAAAAAATACTTAAATTATGTTTTTTTGCCTTAAGGTTACGTAGCATGTAAATCAATCAAGAGTCCCCCATAGCTGTTTACTTTTGACATTTTAATAAATATGATTATTATTGTGTAATAACATTAATATTAAACCTGTAATTAATGTATAAAATAAAACATTAAATAAGAATATTAAGTGGTCTCGTCCGAAATTTTAAAAAAACACTGATAAAGACAAGTGCCCAAAATTCTTTCTTTGTTTGTCCAGCGGTTACAATCCCAGAAAATATTATCTTTGTTCAGAGTGAATTTAGAAACAAAAATCCTTCCCTTCCCTAAGGGTAGGAAAGAGCAGATTTTGATGCCGAGATGGGAAAATTACTTGATTATTTTTTCTGTTTCATCACAACATCTTATTCGTTCAAAATGAACAAGCAATGGCAATACTAGTGCAAAGAGACGAGCGTGTTGACCCATTTTGTGCGTAACACGGTGTGGTGCGTGGAGGAATCGATGATTATATAGAAGCCGAATCTCGAGGCCTCGCTTGTGTTCGCTGATGAGTTTGGATCTGTGTCAGGGTCCTCCCCGCGCGGGCCCTTCGCCCTTCGAACCCCTCTGCCTCCTCCACCGGTAGTCAACCCCTGCGACAGTTGACCCGTAAACTTGAGTATTTGTGTTTTACCTCAGCCTGGCAAAAATTATTGTGCCATTTTAAAATTATAATTTGACATCATTTCGAATTTAAATTGAGATATGAAGGCATAACAATTGAATAATTTTCATTATTACTGTATTAATGTATACTTTCATTTTCCTGTTTCTATTGTCTCCATTTCATGGTAGAACTTTATTAACTTCCGCAGTCTATGGGTTAAGCTTTACCTGTTTTAGAAGGGGCCCCCACCCTTGGATGTTAAGAAAAGTTGTCTACGTTAGAGGTCGATCCATTCGCATTCAACAGCAACTTTCAAGGGTTTATTATTAATTTTTGAATGGTTAACCGTTGGAAGAAATATCAATTGGGAAATAATGAATTACTGCATATTTTATTATATTATGTAAGATTAACAATTTAGCAATCTACTCAGCGGAACGATGTTTCCTTTGACCTTTCTCACAGACACTCTTGAACATCAAAGCCTTGTTACCAAAAGCTCGTCTCAACCCTTTCCGATAGGATGATTTATTTCATGCCATGCAATAATGCTATCAATAACATTACGAATTATTATAATTAGTTGTAATATTATAATCTCCGTCCGGGTGGAGTGGTGATCGACCTTTGTGGTTTCACCTTCGTAGCAGCCGACGCTTTGCTGGCATTGTCGCCTCGACGCCAATAGGAAGCAACACGCAGATCGCTATTGGGCTTGAGGCCGTTTTCAATGCACCATCTTTTACCTTGTGCTCCTTAAAGTGTAGCTTGACCCAAAACCAGTGAAGCTGTTATGAGGTGAAGAGCAATCCATTTTAAACATCTTTTTGTTTCTGCAATTTTAAATAGTAATACGAAAGATAAATATTTTCTATTTGGAGTACAAGTCTCTCCAATACATTGATTAGTTTTACTTGAATGTATTAAATATTTTCTAATGAGTACCATAGTTACATTGTATTTAAATATTAAATAATTTAATTTTTTTACATGACAATCGTCTTAACTAAATACAATAATAATAGAGAGCAAACATAATATCTGTGGTTGATAATGAAAACCAAACTATTTCTGTACCTATTTATCTTTCGTAGTTCATTCTTGTGGCAGGAGTTATTATTTATTTAGTAGTTCTGCTCTTTTGGTGATAAATAGTTTTAATATTGCAGATTTAATTCCTTGCTGATCTTTTTAAAATACTTACCTCTGAATTACCATGTAGGTCAAATGCATAAACAATGCCAAATTTGACCCCGTTTTTTCCGCTATTACAGTGCTATACTAAACTACCAAAGCAACAGTGGCATAGATCTTATCATCTGGAATGATGATAATTCAATTGTAAAAGCGATATTAATCAACTAGGTATTATTAAATACTATTTCTGTATAAAAATATCAGACCAACAGATAATATCTTTTTAATGTATAAAATTATAGTGTATTTTTTTGGTTAATTTGATATTTAAGTAATGTATTTTGCCTATAGCTATAATATGTAGGCATAATTATTAATACTCCTATTATAAAATAGGAGTAACATTAGTAAATACAAATTGTTTAACGAATTACGAAATACGTTTTACCAATACCTGTCATTGTTACTATATTTCCTCGATTTTACATAATGACTTACGACTGTGATGAAAAATCACTAGTTAGCGGATTCCCATACAAACTTTCATCCTTTCATGCTAATAGGATTATTAGCATACCAGTGATATTACCACTTCAACATTATCTTTTCCATTGATCGATAAAACATTCGATAGCTATCCACGATATCATTCGTGCTAGTAACTCTAATTTATAACTCCCTGACAGATGGTGATTAACGCATTGTTGAGATGTAGGAAAGTAGAACGGGGGCGTCAAATCCAAGGCTTCATACGCAATCAAACCAATTTATTTAGAAGTATCAAAAACCGTACTCGTTCACCGTTTGTAATACATACAAAATATGTATATTATTGATACTCTCACTAGTACCTACCATATATGAAATAGTAACCAAGTTATTTTCAGTAACATCAATTTATACAACAACTGCCTGTGTCAACAATGTCATTTGTTTACGTCTGCTCAACAAATAAATTTATTTTAATGTCTGGTAAACCTTCGCTTCGTAAAAGTGCAGTAGCCATGAGCCTAGGCAGATGTTTCGTACAATCACAAAAACTACAGGCCACATGCTAATGCAATAAACTATTTTTAATTAACTTATGCAGACGTTGTCAGTACATAACAGTTAGGTTACAGTGCGGTTCCAGCATTTAGTGTAGTGCATTGTAAAACTGAGGTAGGACCTCAAGTTCATCATGATCGCTTGTAGTAGCAACGTCGTTATAAAAAACAGTTACTTTTCACATTTGCTCATGATGATGTTACAAATCCATCCGAAGCTCCTCTAACTAGATTTTGAATGTAATTATTAAAGCTGTGAACCTGCCCTTCTGAGTACATTAAATCTGTTTCTAGAAGGCACGAAGAAGTTGCCAACTTTTTGTCATTTAAATCGTGAAGAATTATTTTACTTATTAGGCATTGAAGGATTGAAATAAATGGATCATTTGTTAAACAAAGTTCTCGCTTCAGAACTATATTTTTTATCTAGTATGTCTTAACATACGCACGGTCTGCATATGAAGACTGAAAGTGTACGTCCGCCTGGTAGTGTGCGCGGCCTCAACCGAGTTTTGTCGATGCTTTCTCGTACAGCGAACCGGGTCGCGTTCTCGATGCTCGTGCTGAGCTAGCTGGCTGGTACCGAGTACCGACTGACTGCAGAGTCTCACTGAGCTTGACACACGCACACCGTCGCATGCGACCCCACTCACACACAAACATGCACCCACGTCTTTGCCATGTCAGGGTTAGCAAACAATTTTTCTAACTTGGATTCGTTTGCTTATTAGTTTCTAGCGATATCCTAGAACTGGCCGTCACGACGAATGCTAGATAGAATTAAATGTAATTGACAGACGACCCTCGCGAGTATTCGAGGAAGTGGGGTCATACAATTTATATTAGGCCGAATCCAAGGTCTCGCCAATCATTTTAGTCATCTAGTAAATTCGTAGGACAATAAAATTTAAGGCCGAATGACGATACCGACCTTTGTCAATTTAAATTAACTGGTGTGCATGTTTATTTTCAAAATATCCCATACGAGTTGGTTTTCTTCCTATAGATGACTTATCAGCAGTCATGTCTTACGTATCTATCTATATCTATACCTTATCTACGCACCATCTAAAGACTTGTTTTATCTTCATATTATAACGTGGACATCATACCCAAATGATCAGCTTTTAATAAATAAAATCCTAGTTATACTATGTACCGTTTCTACGCAGCATACTACTGTGGCTGCCGATGTTTCGCTTTCGAATAGATGTTGCCAAATATTAGTTGCATGGTTGAGGCGTGGAGTGTGCCGGTTTCGGTTCCCCGCGCTCGCCCACCTTGCACCGACCGACCGCCGCGTCGTCCGTCACGTATGTGTCGCGGAATGTTGCATAATCGCCCGTGTAAACTCATGCTCGCATCACTCTTTGTATTTAAAACATGTTAAGTGTGGCCGTAATCATTTCAAAATAATCTCATTCGCTGTGTGCTGCGATAGCGCACTATCAATCATTGAAATTCACAGCGAACATAATGGAATGAACATGTACATCAAATTTTTACCATGTATGTACTGTTGTAGCTATTCGCGTTTGTTCAACTTTTACGTACGTCATATTTAAGAAGCCAGACCTCGTATATTTATAGACGTAGGGCTAGGTTATTACTTCTTTATTTATTACTTTACGTACAAGGTTCATGTCCATGGATACAGTGTATCGGATGGAATGTTCACCGTTTCAGCCGTACGTATAATCACGTTCAGTTTGTGAATTGGTTGTATGTCCTCGGCCTCGCTCGCTCGCTTCCGCGTTGTAGCTTATCCTCGCCTCACGGTACTTAGTTTATTGATAATCTTTTGTGATGTAAACCTTGATCCTTGTGGACCTTACCCAACATCTAATAAAGTTAACGGTTTTATCAACTTTTTAATTTCCTTTCTAGGTATAATCAGCAAACCGCGCGCTCCTCTTGGTTAAAGTACGTAATTTTTTTTCTTTTCTTTTTTATGTTAAACTCGTTTAAACCTATTATTTATGTCGTTCTTTTAAAAGCTTAATTGTTAAATTAGCGTTGGTTTAATAGGCCACGTGCTAACCTCAAGTAGGCAGGCGTGCGTACATGTACGTCACACACAGCAGTAGCTGACGAAGGCCATGACGTAATGATGGAGTATCACCTCACCTATGTCTGTCTTTGTCGTTTAAGTTTCATCACAAAGCTAAAGCGATGGCTGAGATTCTAAGAGTTGGTATTTGTAATTGTATCTCAATTATTCCCCTATTTAATTATTGATTAGAAAAAAAGACATGCAAGCATATAATCACTGGTCAGGAAATGTGACATGCAATCACTTAATGATGAAGGTACATATTGTGTTTCTTACTCGACTCGGTTAGTAAACATTGTATTAAGTAAAACGACCTTGCGTTTCCCATAGAACGTTCGTTCCATGACAGTTCTCTCTATCCCCTACGACTTTGGACAGGCGCCAACGCTCAAGTAGAACTTCAGTCATATCCATAAGGCGTGACTAGAATGTCTTGAAGAAGTTATTGGGGAATAGATACAATAATTACTTCAAATATTACTATTTGTTGTATTTTATTGCCCAATATTGTTTTGAATCTGGTAATTTTACTATCCCTATTCTAATTAAATAGTTTAGAACCTAATAAAAATAGGATGTGCGTACGTAGTGTTATGTTACCGTTAAAGTGTTATCTTACATACATTTTCAGAAACGTTCGATCTTAAAATAAAAGTAAAACCTTGCAGTATTTGACTATCAATTCATATTTTCCGTATTCGTGTTTTGTCATTGAATTTATCTTTCAATGTCAAAATGATAAATAAAGCGCACATTTTTATAACGTACCTACAATAACCCAATAGATAGGTTCATGTAGTATCAGTCTTACTTTTCGACACAACTTATTTTACACTTGTACTTCATACAAATATGTGGTAGGTATTATTTGTCAGTTTTTGCTTTTTGTAATCTTGGTCAACCATGTGTATTATATTACGGACTGGAGTAACTAACAAACAGTTAATTCAAAGTTCTTTTACTATTGATATTTTTACACTGAAAGGGATCGAGCTTACTTATACATATTGTTTGTATCTGGTGCCAGCACTTCACATGGATATTTTCTATTTCGTTTTGTACATTGACTGCGATTTAAATAGGTATCCTTATCATGCTCTATAGCAGTGGCAGCATTTTCCTTAAGTAATATTTTTGGAATGGCTTCGCGGGCCACTTCGGGTGCTTCCAAGGATCACCGGTTAAGAACCACTGTTTACTTATAGCAAAACACAAATAATCATGTGAAGTGGCTACATGACAATAAGGCAAAGGTGACAAACTGGCAAGTCTACGTATGTAGTGCTACTGGCCGCCAACCGCCTTGCCTCGGTCACCTTGCGCGTCCCCGAGCATCTCGGACGAATAGAGGTGGCGTCAGTTCCGCGTTCGTATGTACTCTGCTTCAACAACGGAATGTTTATTTATGTAATAGCTGGCTAGTTAGATCTGTATCGTGAAAATGTGTATTGCGAATGGACACTTTTTTTCAGTTACGTCTGTAACATCTAAATAGATATGACGACCTCCATGACCGAGTGGTTTGTACACCAGGTTTCAATTCAAGGTGTATGTCGCCTACACGAGAGATACCGGGTTCGAATCCCAGTGGGGGCAAATGTTTGTGTGATGAATACGAGCATTTGTACTAAGTTATGGATGTTTTATATGTATTTCTATATAAATCTTATATATACAATTTTCGTGTCACAATGCTAGTTGCCATACTCTTCCGGAACGGCTTGACTGATTTTTATGAAATTTTATATGCATATTCAGTAGGTCTGAGAATCCGCTTTTCATACCCCTAAGATCAGTAAGGGTTGTCCACCCCTAACTTTTAATTTTATTTTTTTTGGACAAAATTTTTTATAATATGGAGAATTAATAAATAAAATATTTCGCTGGTTCAGCTAGTATACTTATATATGTATCAATATATTATGTATTCTATCCGTTACCCTAGTATCCCATAACAAAAGCCTGCAGTGCTTACTTTGGGGTTAGGCTAATTGGTGTGTGTTGGAAATATTTATTTATTTAAATGCCTTTTTAAACGTTTAGTTTATTACCGAATAAACTTCGATTGAACAAGCAATTATTTTCATAAATTTTTTAGAAAACCATGTACCTAGTTTCTATCACCTAAATATCCTTATCACTGAACTTAGGTCTTATCACTAAGTGATACCGACATGACGGTGTTGTAGGTATGTATGGGTAGGTACGTACTGTGTCATGATATATTTTTGTGGTCATCATGATATTGTTATGTTATATTGTAACGTTCGTCCATGTGCCATTTAAAATAAAAACATGTGATAGTAATTATTATTATACTGTTATCTCTTATTAAGCTTCAAGCTAATAGTAGGGAGCCCAATTGGGGATTTTGTGATTTATTCGAGCGCGGCAGAATAACTTAATGGGGGCAACCTTGCACCTTGTGAAGTACTCCCCTACTATAATTATTGGTCCCAGTCTCCTCATTCTTATGAACTATGCTTAAGACATTTACAAATAATATTTATTTACCTGGCCAAGCACTTTAAATTTGCTCTACCATTTTGTTTTTCCTAGTATTTGTGGCTTTGACATTGGGTGAATTGGGTATATTGTTCAATTTTACGTTTTGCGAGACAATGACGACTGCCATAGCCTTGAACGTCACATGTTTGATTATTCTGTACCTCGCACCTATAATTTGCGCTGTAGCTGATAATATGAATACCTATTAAGTATCGGTTTAATAAAAGTAATATTTTGTAAATTTTTCAATATTTTCACCTAACGTCTCGTGGCAAAACGGCACAAGTTTTTGATGACTTTGCCATGTATTTTATGAAAATCATTGCGGAGTGGGATGAGAGAATGTTCATTATATAAAAGAATATACATATAAAGTAACAGTTGGATCATAGACCGCACTAATTTTGATTACATTAATAAAATCCTACAGAGTAGTTAGTAGAGTGTAGAAGACTTGGCTGAAGTGATGGTCCATAACATGATAGGAAATGACGTTGCTAAATAGTTTTAAACAAGAAACCGAGAAGTTTAACTCCTGTTAGGTGTTATCATTGTTGTTACTAAGCTATTTCGGAATCTAGATATGCTTATTTAACAATACGTGAGGGGAAAATGCAGTACCCTTTCTAAGCATATTTTGCGCAGGAGAAGAAGTGCAGATAGCTTGGCTAAGCTTTTTCTATAATAGGTATTCGAAATATGTAATACAATCAATTGATAGACACAATATAACACATACTACCATACGTTAATACACACTGATTGAGGTTCTCCAGCCAAAAATTACACTTTTGCAATTACATTCAATTCAAATTTAAAAAGGTCTAATTTCGACCAATAGGCTGCTTGCCAGTGTTTATAATTTCTGCACTTAGATAAAAAATAATATATAAAAATGTTTATTAAATAATATCAAGCATATACCTAAGATGTCTTTGGTCATGGAGTTACCACTCCAATGGATTTATTGTTTTCATTATACTCAGAATTGATGACATCTAGTAAAGTAATACATGTTCGTAGGTCACATCAACACTAAGACTGTTATTAAAACGTGCTTTAACGTAATGTTTACTACTATTCTATTGGATATAAAGACGACTGCAACCTCGTTCTTGGTTCTAGGTTTAACCTAGTCAATCGCATTGATGCAAATTACAATCTACTTTAAAGATCATTTTGTAAGGCTTTGGAAGCGTTTTATAATACCTCTTTTGTTTATATGTCACAAAAATATTTGCTAATGTAAAACATTAATCCTTTTCTTCTCTGCAACTTTGTTGCATTTAATGCAAATAAAATTTGATATCGTGAGACGATTCAGAGCTCAATAAACAAACCGTCCTCCACAGTCAGCACAGTCGAGGACCCTATAATGTCGGGTCGTCCTCAGGGCGTCTGAGTCACTGCATGCAGTCGTCGTAAAGAGGGCATTGCTCAGTCCTCACCTCCCCTTTTAACCGAACCGTGCATCAATGAGGCACGATTAAAAAATAAAACCACTCATATGCGTATCAGGGCGCTCATTGTTTTGTTCGTCCTTATTCTGATTCTATTGTCTCGCCTGCTCGCCAAGTGGCCGCCATTTTTATTATTGATTGCGAATTTATGGCAGTCCATGGTCTATTGTCAACCTTTTCAGGTTTGCTATAGGTAATTTAACCTCTAAGAATTTATTTCCATAATGCATATTTGAATGACTCTACAAGGATGAATTTATATTTGTTATGAATGTTGAATGACTATTTACCCACTTACTATTTAAAAACAAAGCAATAACACAATAAATAAATATTTACTACAATGTTCAACAAGTATTCATATTTAATTGTGTTTTTTTAAATGTAAATCTCTGAAAAAGTTTTTTTTTCTTCTATTTTTGTTTCTTGAGATTGATTGCAAACACATTAATTATAATAATGCGACCGTCTTGTTTCGCATTAGGAGAATATAATTTTTAATCCGACCCCATAAATGTTGTGAAACGGCGCCGTGAGGACTTTAAATATAGAAGAGGATGCGAGCAGGTCGGGTGACATCTATAATAAGACCGCGGGAGACCAATGATATGTACTACGTAGATTGCTCAAGCTTTCACGGGTTGTTGACTTCGAAGTGAAGTCCACTCTCATATGTATGGATGAATAGAATAAACAGTAGTAATTACTGCTATCGACGAATTAACGTTTAAAGAATTCACTGGAAATTCTTCTAATAAAAATGTGTAGTAACTTTTTCCGCAAATGACACTAATGTATTCCAAATCTTTTGTTGTTAAAAACTCAATGACTTACAATAATGAAAACGACAGCGGACGAGGGTTTAGCAACCATTGCTACAATAATATTTTATGATCTTCAAACCGATTCTGGTTAAAATACATTGACCTGCTTGGAGTATTAATAACGTAGGTAATCTGCCAATGGTGCAAACTGTAAGGGATGAATTACAAAAAGGAGACAATCTTAATAGATTTTTATACTACATACATACTGAAGAGTTTAAATCTTTTATTTGTAAAATCTCTTCCTTTTAAGAAAAGGTGAAATTCCCTTGTGTTTTTATTGTCTTTGTGGTTGCTTCTTACTTTGGGCCACTGGCTTTTCACAAGAATAAGAAAGAGCGCTCTTTGTAATGTATCCACCACGCCAGTCCAGCCAGTGTGCATTCGTAGTATTGCAGACAGCTTAAATTAACTGGTGCCAATGGCTTTAACTGCTTCGATCACAAGAATTTTTTTTTCATGGCGTGCCAAAAAAAGTGTGTAATATTTTTAACAATCCGGTAATAGGGCTTTGTTAAAGTCGCTTAGCAAAGTTATAATAATACAGTAACCAATATAACGCTTCTTAACTTAAATAAAAATATATTATTTAAGTTAAGAATAAGTTAAGTTGAATAATATATTATTATTCAAATTATTCTCCATTAATTTTTACGTTTTATGAATGCAACGTATAAATGTGCAATTAGTTTCTGTTATTGACTATTTATATGGGTATGGTAGTAATATCTGTATTAACTAGAGTCATCGAAACGTCAAATTAAAATCAACAAAAATCGTGAGCCGCAGAAACTCGGCTTTTAATAGTATTTTAAGTTTTTGCTTTCTATGACGGTGGTCCCTTCTGTGTGGGTGGTCTAATGTGACATTACCTCGGCCCACTGCACCAAACCGATGGTAACGAAAATTCAACCATTTTCTTCCTTTTTTTTTTATTTCAAATATGCACACTGAAATTATAAGATGAGTCTTATACATAAAATGACTCATCTATTGTTAATCGTTATAGGAGCGATTTTCTGTAACTGAATGTAGGTCAGTCGGACCGCTCCATTTGTCACAGTGGCAAATTGTTGATCGACCTCGACAACTCATTTTGAGTGGTATCTTATCAATACTTGCACTACTAGTAACGTGCCAAATTATAAAATACATATTTCACTAACCCATCAAACTTCACAAACAACATTTTATCAAATTCTTTCTTGCGGCTAAACAACAATCTGCAATGCAAGAATAATTAATTGTAAACTTAGTTCAGTTTTAGATAAACATTTCTTGAAATTTTATTGATATTATTGGACCATTGTACAAATATTCTAATTAAAGTTCCAGCAATGAGGGACTGTCAGTTTCAAAGAGTTAGAGCCGTAGATCGCAGTAACGTTCTTCGTCAATAGCCAGTTTCTAGGTCGTGTCGATTAATTCACTTAGCCTACTTTTTTGTGACATATTTTATACTAGACATTATTATGTGCTCCGACATACATCTTTGATATCCTTTAGGGATGATTCATCGCTGTAATTAACAACAATGGACTTCACGTAGCATGAGCTTTTCCTGTCTGAGATGTTAACTGAACGAACGGTTCAATTTAGACATCTTGTAGTTCGACCTTGTCGTCGCAATTTGTTTATGGTCCACCGTCTTCTATGTGCAACTGCCCTCGTCACACATCTTGCTCAATGCTATTTGTGTTTAGTCTCTCTGAGATAATGACCACCAACAAAATTAATCCATTGTCCTTTATTAAATAAATCGCCAGTACACCTTTTTTTACTTAACGATTTATTGTAAGGTTATTTTTTACTTTTTGTCATAATTATTGAAATTTAGTCTCTTTCCACAAAGTGTATTGAAGGTTACTAAATATACAAAACACCTTTACGAAATAACCCGAAATTCACAGATAACTTACCTTTGGTACTAAAAGATATAGTGGGCGTGAAATGTAAATCCGATTTTCCCTCACGTGCAGACACGGTCTGCCTTTGTCGTGAATAGTCCTAATATATTGTTTCGGATTAACATATGTCAATGTCGGAGGAAGGCAAATAACAAGGGCAGGACACGAGCGTTTTAAATTGAAGCGGGGCCAACTGAACTGAATTGGAAAAATTTGAGCTTTCATTGTAAAGGCTTCTTCGCGGTATAAACTTGCAGGATATGCTTGATGAAGAGAATGTCCGATGCTATGGACGGAGGGAGTAGGTTCGTGAAATCACCACACAAAGAGCGACCGCACTCACCGTGAGCGGATGCAGTGTGGTGATGAAACTGACACAGATTCTAACGCGTATTTGGTAATCGAACTACAGTTCGTGAAAGTCTCACAGGACGGCCATATCTCACGCATTGTAAATGTCCCACTTTAGGAGATAAACTCGACATTTTGACGGCACCGAAACCCAAAAGCTAAATGATACTTAACTCTTCTTTCGTTGCGTTGTTATTGTTCGCGGTCAGCAGCTCTCAGTACGCACGTACCGGAGTAAATGTGTTAGTGTGTATTGTGTTCGCGTCCCAGATTTGGGAAGCTAAACTGCAATCGTTGATTGGTGTATTACGACGTTGCTACATTTTCGCCTTGCATTCAATTCCATGAGAAGTAGGTACCAATTGCCTTTCGGCTAGTGGGTCAATTGGTGAAACACCAATAATCTGCATTGATAAACTAATTTAATTCGTACGTTGTCGATCTTGTTTTGAGGAAAATTTGATAGTAGCAAATATATAAACTTGATTTTTAAATACTAAAGCTTCCATAGTGTGCTTCATTTTATTATTTTATTTATAGCGCTTTTAATTCAATCTTCGCGACATTCCCAGTATTTGAAAAACTTCACGTCAAAAAAATATGCATCATTAAAAAAACACGTACTGTTTGGTGTTATATGAAAGGTAACGAAAAGAAGTATACAAAAACCAAATTTTATATTTTATTATTCGCACCACACTGTAAAAAAAATTACCACACAATAAACATTCTCATTTAAATTAGAGACAAGTACTATACAAAAGAATTCATAAACTAATCTAAAACCTTAAAACAAAGTAATCTAAAACCTACTGTTACTGTCGTGGATCTTATCAATTTAAGAAGGTCTTCTTGAAGGATGTTGTCCCATTCCTCAATAACGCACTCTTGGAGATCCTGGAGTCGTGGGAGCGGATGATCACGAGATCGAACTTTATGCTTCAAGTGGTCCCAGAGGTGCTCTATTGGATTTAGGTATGGACTTCTCTCTGGCCACTGCATGACCAAACTCTTGATGATATAAGATAATCATGCACAATTACTACAGTGTGTGAGCGAACGTTGTCGTGAATCGAAAAAAATGACACATCCCCTATTGAAGCAATGCAATAACTTGGGTAGATTCATTAGCGGTGGTGTCCATCTTCAACGTGGTTTTTCTTATGAAAGATCTTTTTCTTTTAATGAAATAAAATTAATATTTATTTATTCGGCTTTCCGTTGACCAATAAATGTTTACACTTGAAAGTAATTTACACGGGGTGCGATTTTTTGACGCTGAGTGCAGAAGTTTTATGTGAATTCTTAAAGAAAGAATTTCATTTAGTCAAAATGTCCTTTACGAATTGAATGAGGTTTCATTATAGTTAATAAATTAATAGTACAAGTCGAGAGAACATTACATATATTATTTTCTATTTCGTTACCGTAATCCCGATTTAATGTGAACATATCAACAAAAACCAATACCTACTAAATTTATTTTTATTTGAATTTCTTTGAAATTCAATATTTTAATATTTACTGAAGACACTGAGATAAAACCTGCCCGTAATGCACATTAAATTACACGTGTAAATGAATTTATTTTACGACAACTTAGCGGTTTAGTAAGGTCATTATCTCAAAATGTACTGAACAATAAGATACAATATGTATAAAAACTCCTCAATAACGGAAAACCTAAACAACTAAATACCATAAATTCGAATGTCTTTAATTCACTATTGGTTGTTTTGATTAGAAAAAATAAAAGTAAAACATAACCGTTATAGTCTGTTAGATCTGACAAGCACGACTTTATATAAAGTATATCTGATATAATTTTTTGTTGCTCTAACAGCATATTGTAACTGGGGCATGAGTATTCTCTGTACATTGCTTTTGCATTGTTGCCGATTTGATAGATTTGATAATAGTAACAAGTAGCCGCTGAGTGTAGATGTAAACAGTTAGGAGTGAAGTTTATTAAGAACAACAGGTTGTCAAAGAATGCGGCATACCACAAATTTATAGTAAGGCCAATAAGAATGTTTCTCGGCACAATCGTAATATTTTTCACAAGTGAAAACTAGTGTTCAAAGTCGTGAATGTTTTTTAACAAAGAATTTTGTTCATATTTTTATAAGACGGTGATGCGTCTTATTTTTGAGAATTTTCGCTAATATAAGTGAGCCATCAATGAAGAAAATCACCAAAATGAAGATTTGAATTTTAGCGGTACGTTAGAGATCAAAAATCCGTCACAGAATTACAGCAGAGAGGATAATCCATAGGAATGTTTTCCTTTTTTGCGTCGTACGACCTATATGATGATGATGTATATGGAGTGGCCGATAGGTTTCGCACGCGTCGCAGCCATAGGCTTCAATACAGAGGGTAGCCTTGACTATGATGATATTTGCCCACAATAACTGGTGTCGTTTGTTGTACCAGGCTCGGGTCGGGCAGTGAGTGTGGCGGCGGAGGGTCGGGCGGCGGCGCGCCCGCTCCTCAGTCGGCGCGCGTCTCATCGAACGGCGCCGGCGGGATGGCGGTGAGCCGTGTGCCCAGCCCGCTGCACGACGGGAACACACCCGTCGCGGAGAACTGGTGCTTTACACAGGTATTACACGATGTTTCTTTTTTTTGTTTTGTCCCAGGTGGGGAACGTTCATACCCAGACAATACTTCTGTACCGGTCACCCGCCCCGCATTGCTAGGACCGCAGTACCCACAATGCACAACGGGAGTGCGGGCGGTGTTGTGGCACCTGATTTCCAACTGGCCGTGCAAGGAGGAGCGTTTACACCCGCTCCTCATGGCTATCCTACCTGGCCTGGGTGGACCTGGCCTCTGACCATATGGGCCTCTCAAGCTACATCTGATGTGATCATCCCCTGAGAAAGAGATACGATGTTTCTCTTCTGTCACCCATATATATACTGACACTTGTATATGTTACAATTGAGCGTTATAAAAACGTGATATATAGGTATCATATGGCAATGCACATGCTAAGCTGAAGTAGAAAATAATGTAAAAAATTAGGTAAGCACAACTAATTTTATACTGGAATCTTTTTGTGACATAATCCATTTTATAGGAGACTGCAACAACAACATTATTCTTTAGTGTTCTGAAAGTTCCAAACCAATCTGAGCAATAATGCCGCTAACTTCCAGCTTGATTTAAATTTATGTACCTTAGAATGTCTAGATTGATCGGACTAAAGCTCCACGTGGTAAGGCAGGGTAGGCAACAGCAACATGCACATGATACTATGTGATATCGTTACCTTTTTATTACAAAGTACTTTTGTCTCTACCCAGAATGAATCCACAACTTTTTCAGAGACTATTTTATAACGTTCATCCTCCTTTTTCTCTCATCATCCTCATCGGCATACTTCAGGAAAGCATACATTTTAAATGAAATCAGTATCTTGTGTATGTTTAAAAAACTCTCAATTTCTTTCTTGCGATGTATTTATTTAGTTTGGAAGTTCTGTCCTATTCGTAGCATTTTTCTCTCAAAATATGTTATGGGAAAGAGTAAGCAACTAATTAGCTTAAAGTTACCAATCATGCAACAAGTAGAAAATTCTCAGGAAAATCTGTTTTCTTAATTAAAGTTCACCCTGAATTTGATCTCGCTATTTACGCGCTATCATTGACTAGTCTCTTCTTATTAATGACCCTTAGTCTGTTTACGTATATCTTGTAGTGATAGCCACTATAATATTAGATATTTTGTTTCCGAGAGCGCAACAAAATATTGGACGATTTGCAATCGCTGTGATATGCTCCAATATTATTTAATATATTTTGAGTTTCGCTTTATTCTAAAGAGGAATTAAATTAAAAAAAAAACAATAATCTCTTCAGTAATATCTTTCACTAGACCTGGTTTTGGTCACGATCATTTCAATCCGGTTTTAATTGTACTCTTGCGTCCTAAACTAAGTAGGCACTCACGTAGCTCTCTAGTTCAACGATACATTATTCAATATTCATTTAAAACTGACATAAATATGGTTTCTTCATTGCAAAACACTGACGTCAAAAGACACGCTAGTGTTTGTTCGGAGACTGTTTTATTTTTGTAAGTATTACAGCACTATTTTCAAATTAGAATAATTGGTTTATTTTTAAAACTAAAAATAGTTATAGTGCATGTCCCCGCACTCCAGAGGTTAATCAATGTTGTTTTTTTTAATAAACTAAGCACTCTCTAAAACGGGCGTAATGGGTGCTCATCCAAGATTTTCATCAGATGTTTGGTTCTCGTGGATCGTAAAACTTTATACTCGGTTGGCGTCGTAAATAACCAATCTGTCAGTTGTACTTCGTACGACGAAACGATAACGAGCAGTTATCGGTGAACTTGAAACACGTATGCTTAGATTGTTCTAACCTGTAAACCAATAAGGAAGTGTAGTTGTGTACACATAGTACCATGCCATGTGAATAAAGGAGAATCGTGCGTCAAAGCATTGAAAATAAATATTGCAAACTTTTTTATTTATTTATTGGTATTAAGTAGGAGAGGCATTGTTAAATGAGATGAGATAAAGACTTAACAAAAAGTGGCACTGTATCAGCAATACTATAGTTAAAACATTGCAAATATAAATTATCTATATCAATCATCCAATAGCTACCTACTACAATTTAACAAAATTCTGGATAGCGACTCCAGAACGATATTTTTTCTATTTTTTGTATATTTTACAACTAGAGTAGACAGCGCTGCGAACTTGTCGGTCTGAAATTCCCTGGGGAATTCGATTAAGATTAAGAAAGTTAGGATATGATGGAACTGGCATATCCTTTATACGTATTTGGTAAAAGCTTCAAAGTAAATAAGTTTGGAAAATAAAAAAGAAGAAGATTCCAGAAAATTATCAACCGTGAACGTAATACAAATCCCACAAGAATAAACAAAACAATTTTCATTAATAAAAAGGGGCCTTATGTGTCAATCCAAGTATTTAACAAACTGTAGTTTGCAAATTGCGTAAAACATATAAACGTTCAAATAGGTACACAAAATGTTCAATTACTTATTTAAAATTTAGTAAAAATTGGAATATAATATTTAGTCGCAAAAATCCTGAAAAGCGTTGAATCTTTGAGAAAGATAGCTAAAGCCCTTCGTGTTCCGACTACGTAACGTTGGATATACCTTACCAAGCACCAACGTGACGGGCAATCGATCCGTCATCACGTTTCGTCATATTGGTAATCAATGTCGGTATGCAATTCTAGAGATGAATACTGAATTCATGCGCGTAGTGCGCGTGGTAATATATTTAATATATCCACATATAACGACAGCGAGTAAATATTGCACATTATGTTTTCATACATAATTTACATAAGCGGTTTAACGTTAAAACGACTGTTCTCGCTAAGTAGATTGTACTTGATGGTTCACAAAATCGAATTGCAACAGTAATAGGAACATTATGTTTTATATTAAATGCGTTGTTTGTAAAGTTAAAAAGTGTGAAGAGTATTGACTATTTCTTAAAGCCCATGTTACTACTCTCTGACCCTCTTCACTCTGAGACCGATCTTGAGTGAGATGCTGTTTTCGTACAAAACAGCACCTTAGAGTCTAAAACAAACCCGTATTTGGTGTGTGTCAAATTGTCAACATTTAAAACTTTTCTCCAGATTTGAGCACATCCGTTGTTTAGTGGTCAAGACAATTGGGTCGACCGTTGAACGACTTAGCCACCGGCCCGGCAGTATTATCTTTTTTAATGCTTTTTGCCGAAAAATCTATTTAGTTCGCGAACGTTAACGGTATATTATTTCGCTCGGTGCACGCCGACGCTTAGGCATGTATACTTATTAAGGTCCGACTCAAGTTTTTCAATTTTGACGCGTTCGTTGATAATGGTTCGTAGACCGTTAATAACGGGACATATACCTTAATGCTCGCTTAGGCATATGAGCTACAAGCTATAAAGACTATATTCCTTCCTATTTACTGCCGTGAATCTCGAATACTTATTATAGCGCTAGAGCAAGCACGTGGCTCCGCACTGCCGCAGCAACACGTGCCGCGATAACCACTCTTCATTACTTGGAAACTCGTCAACAATAAACTTCGCATGTTATCGTCTGAATTAATGCTACACTGGCCTGCAAAATTAAGTATCACACTTTTAAAATTCCAATAACTTTTATAGTACACAAGATATGGTTTCGAAATAAAAACGACTCGAAAAAGAGTTTGTACTACACTTTCAAAGAAAGCTGATATGCTGTTACGTTCTTTTTATTTTAAGGCTCTAATTTCTATAGTTTAGAAAATATTGAAGTTTTAGAAATGTGCTACTTAGTTTTGCAGGTTCATGTAGTTTCAAATGAAGTTCGCTCTATTTCAAGAAAACATTGCTAAACGAGCGGTAGGTTGTACATAGATCGTTGAGGGTTTACTCAGTGAGTTGAATAGTTCAATGGGTTTACTACGTACAGTATTCAAATTTAACGATAGCCAAATAGTCCATAGCGATGACATAAGTAAATTACGGTTGCGAAACTACAGTGATTGCATTACAAAAACTTTATTGTTACGCAATAAGAAGTATATACCTATCGATTTCTTTTTCATCTTACCAGAGACTAGTGATTTGTCAATCATCATGATCGCGGTTATAAAGCGATGACATCGAGCACTAGATAAATGAGGACAATGCTCCTGCGAGGAGCATAACTTTGATGCGCAAATAGATGTCTCCGTCCGTTTATGGAAGTTAACATTGAAATCTGCAAATGGACGTTATCTTAGCGTCCGCGAGCGGGGATGATGCGGGCGGCCTTGGAGCGGGTCGGCGACCGGGCGAAGACCCCAGCAGCACCGCAAGCCCGGAGCCCGCAAGCCAAGCAACGGTCGGGGGCAACGACCAGCGACCACCGCGCGCCGCGACCATCTCCTGACCTTCACGGTCCACCCTGACGCATCACAGGGCCCCACCACGTGTGCCTATACCACGACTATTATGCGCATAACCTCTTCTCTAGCCTGTATCTGCATGCCAGATTAGCTGCTCAATACACCCACCTCGTTAAATGATAGATAACATGACGTACGTTAATGACTTTTCGCACTCTAAAATACGCGATATTTGGATTATTAGAAAACTAATACGACGGTAACCATATCGCTCGCTAATCGCTACGATTAATCAATACTTTAGGCTCATACTCATATCATAAATCTGTATTTTCCTCTTTATTGTATAAAAACATATATCAGTGTATTTGGCTTACTATTACCTTTTTTCTCAAATTAACGCGAGTGAAACCGCAAACCTTTAGTTGTGACATAACTGTAATAAATTAGACATATGGTATTGCGGATTTTTTTGTGGACATTGATGTCCTTTATAAAACTTTAGTACATCACTTTGCTCTACTACCAATGACTTCCGCAGCGTAAGCGATATAAGGTTATTTTTGTTATTTTTTTTCACACCCTGGGTTACCTTAACGAAGTTTTCATACGGAACCTTAACCTTTTTGAAAATACTCTATAGCCTATGTTCATCAGAGAAAACCTAAGATGCTAAACGTGAAAGATTTTTTCAAATCGGTACAAACAAAGATGTCTTTCCTCTTTATAATATTATTATAGACAACCACAATACACGATACACAACTATTCAATTTATGTTTATAATTTTTATTATTTTTAAAGCATGTAACTGCTTGATGTTTAAATCTAAAGAAAATATAACTAGAAAAAATTCCACGCCATTCCATTCAATTTATGGTTAGGGTTACCAACTTTTTTTCTATCAAATATAGTATTTTCGAAGCTGATTTCTTCTAAAAATATAGTATATGACAAAAATTGGTGTTTAAAATGTTTACTTTATTTTTGAAGTCTGCTTTAAGCAAAGTTTACTATATTTTGCCTACTATATTTTTTTTAGAAATATAGTATTTTAGTCGCCTATTTAAGTATGATACTATATTATATAGAAGGGTTGGCAACCCTACTTATGATCCGCCCTCGCTTCGCTACGGTGTCTACACCGTCTACAATTGTCTACAATTGTTTCTGTTCTAGTGCTTGTCATAAGTGATAGTGAAAGCCACATAAAAATCCGTTCAATAGTTCTTGAGATCAACGCGAACAGACTTTTTTTATTAAGTATTTATGATAAGAAAATTATTTCGTTAGGTTAAAACGTCGATGGTTACAAAGCAATAAAGTAGGTAGTGAGTCGTAAACGCAAGTATAAATAAATGTTTATTTGTTTACCTGATATCTGTCAGCTAGACAATCATCAATCAAAGCACAAAGGTATTTTATGGAACTAGAGTATAACAGACAAGATTTTTGGAAGATTTATATGTGATGTCCGGTATATGTAATACCGGACGCCTCCTAGTTTTGTAACTAGGAAGCATGAATGAATGAATATTCTTTATTGCACTATTTAACAAAATATATACAACATAAAACTCAAGGAACACAAACACAAAAGGCGGCCTTATTGCTAAGGTAGCAATCTCTACCAGGCAACCTTTGGCTAAATGAAATCATACCATGAAAAAAGAAGAAACTGCGGGCTAGTGCATTTTAAAAATAAAATAAAATAGACGTAAATATAAGAATATAAAAATAGTAAATATATAAGGAAGCTATAAAATATAATACAAAGTAACTAACAGATACAAAGAAAAAGATCAGGCAGAGTCCAGCTTGAGGAAATATTCCTTAATTTTAATGGTAAAGGAGTCCCTCGTCTGTGCACGTTTGATATCCAGAGGTAAAGAGTTCCACAGTTTTACAGCTCTTACATAGAATGACTTGGCTACGAAATCAGTGGAGTGGGGTGGGATAGCTAAGGATAGGTTATGAGAAGACCGAAGATCGCGGACAGGATTAAAAGAATTAAAAGTGAAACGCTCCTTAGGATTTGCAATATAATTTTGTAACAACATAATTTTTAATAAAAGACTTCTTTATGTACTAGCTGAACGAACTTCGTGCCGCCATAAAATTAGGGGTTGGTGTTGAAGGGTGAAAATTTAGCATTGCTATGTAATTTTAATGGCAAATCATAAAAAAAATAAAAATGTTCTTATAATAAAAAACTGGCAGTAAAAACACATTTTCAATGTTTAATTTAACAGAGTAACCAAATCTATGATAAATTACTTAATTGTCTTTAAAGTTTGGACTGTGACCCAAAATATTGCAATCTATTACAACAACAACAAGGTTTAATTTCTGTTATTAGTTATTTTATAACCTAGGCTGTCTAAACGGGTTATTCCTCTTGGCTTAAAACTAACCCATATATTAATTACTTCCACTTCAAACCCAAAATGATTCCAGAAATTAATTTACACGTAGAAATATTTACCTATTAAAACTGTTTTAATCGTTCAAACATAAGTCATATTGTAAGAATTTTTTGCTTGTTTAACAATTCATTAACGTTGAACTTTGTTTCGTTTCAGGTCAAAGTGGTGAAATTCAGTTACATGTGGACAATAAATAATTTTAGTTTCTGTAGAGAAGAAATGGGTGAAGTGTTAAAATCATCGACTTTCTCAGCCGGTGCTAGTGATAAATTAAAGTGGTGTTTGCGTGTTAATCCAAAAGGACTCGATGAAGAGAGCAAAGACTATTTATCGTTATATTTATTATTAGTGTCGTGTAATAAATCAGAAGTGCGGGCAAAGTTCAAATTCTCAATATTAAACGCGAAAAGAGAGGAAACGAAAGCGATGGAGTCACAACGAGCATACAGATTCGTTCAAGGCAAAGATTGGGGATTCAAGAAATTTATCAGAAGGTAAGATGAGTATTTATTTTATTCTTTTTAAACACACAGTTTAAAAGTGCAGTAGGGCTTTATTGTAATTTACATGCTGCAAGTTCAGAAAGTCTTCTTCCAAGCTCCCTATTTTTTTCTTGAAGATCATGAAAAACTCCTCTTCTGTAAAATATAGACTTCACTACTAACTTGTATATTTAAAACAAAGTTAAAATTGAAACAAGGTTTTTTTTGAAATTTTGGTCCAATAAAAATCAAGTTAAATGAGTTTCATAAATATTATTTTTCGGAATTAATTAGTAATATCAAGAATAATTCTAAAGCAATTATTTATCTCACTCACTGAAACAATATAGTCTAGGCTTTTATATTGTTATTCTTTTTATCCGCGGCTAGAAGTTATTAAATAGATATTTAAACTTTATTAACTGTACTGAACTATTGCTTACTAGTACAATTAATCTATGGATATTCCATTCTTGTTTATGTTTGGAATCTACGCAAACAAGGTGGTTTCATACAACGCAAAAACTACGAAGTTAGGATTGTTTATTGACCGCAAGGACAAAGCGGTGATATTGACAATAACATGAAAACATTACGTAAACTTCGAAGGATCGGCTTGTTTAAACCACGATTGTAGTAAAAAAGGGCAGAACCCCAGTTATTTTCCAATACGGGGAGTATGTACCCTTCGTCTGATAATAACATGTGGGTTGACTCTTGGGGTAGCAGTATTAAAACTACTTTATGTGGGTCTCACGCTCTGACATTTATATAAAGTTGTAAAATTGAGTTATATATACTACAATAATATGTAACGTAACTCTAAACTTTTATCTGAGAATACCTTAAGCACATAAATAAACTATTGATGAACAACAAAGCCACGTTTTATTGGTTCGTTTTTCTTTAGTCAGTCTTGATACAACCATGAATCTAACTTTGTGAATACAAATAACTAACTACAACGTTCGGTTATAGTTATTTATTTCCGTCGCCGTCTCAGTTTACCTAAACGCTTGCCTTTGAGCTAAATCCGCGCCTATATTAACAAACGACCGAACCTTGAGACCGATGCTACATAACCGAGAAGGTTACGATAACACCTACAATGTATCTTTCCGATAAATCAACATCGACAGATGTTTGAAATTACTGCACCTATACTTGGACATCAAAAGCTTGGAAATGGCGACATGAAACAACAAAGCAAACTATCTCGCCAGTGATGGAAAGGAACTTTTTCCATGTTCTAGTAACGATTTGACTTCGACCCTTCTCGGGATAGAAATACCACGCAATAGCGTATTATCTGTTTGCTGCCTTGAAATTATAAATAGACCCTGTTAAAGGAGGAAGCTCTGATGAATGTCAGATGTTTACCGATCGTTTCCTATGTTATAAAATGTAATAATTTAACACGCTTTATAATCACAAAGGTAAAGGTCAATCTTTTGTATATACAAAATATTAAAATTTGTAGATATTTGCGGTTTAAATGACGTGTAATAATATATTTTATTTTTTGATATCATTGTCTTGGAAGATTGAAAAATAGATGTGCTCAAGTATTGTGTAGTTGCTTAAATATATTCCGAAATTATAAGCTTTCAAACTAGTGTAGTAGAATTTCATACCGATGTAGTAATAATTTAGACAAATTAATGATTAGAACTTAAGATCGAAATATTAAGCACTCTCTATCAAATAATTCAAAAGCATTAACCGATTCTGCTTATTAGATCTTGACCAACGTTTCTCTAAGTAGTTTTATTCTCAAAAGCTCCCTAACTTGCCTGTCTGTCTATATAAAGATAACTTAATTCCCAGAGCATTCGGACTTGTTTTTCTTTCTTTAAATGTGAAATTAAAAATGTTTCTGTAATTTGGTTTCATGTTGTTCAATACTTCATTAAATCATAAAATATAACGATTACTTATAGTATGAAATGTGTTCTTTCTATGACGATTACGATAAATTGCTTCATTACATTTGATGTTAATTTATTAGGCATTTAGTAAATGTTATTTAATTGGTATTTGGTAAATTACTGTTATGATGATAGGTCTACATAGATCAGAATGTTACATTAAATAAGATTGTTTTTGTCAATATTTTTCTGTAACCGATAATTCTTTTTTTTTTCTTCAAAATACTGATTAAGCTTCATCGTCGCATTCATGGTTAAACGATTTCGCAACAGTTCTATTGTATCATTATTTCAACCAGTTCTAAATAAATTCCTATTAAAGCGATTAGAAAGAAAGCTTACTGAAAATATGAATTTCTCTCTTTTCCAGAGACTTCTTATTAGACGAGGCAAACGGTTTACTACCAGAGGACAAACTGACAATATTTTGCGAAGTGTCAGTGGTCGCAGATAGCATCAACATCAGCGGGCAGAGCAATGTGATGCAGTTCAAAGTGCCAGAATGCAGACTCTCCGACGATTTAGGCGCGCTCTTCGACAATGAGAGGTTCTCAGACGTCACGTTAGCAGTCGGAGGGAGGGAGTTCCAAGCGCATAAAGCTATATTAGCAGGTATTTAGTTTCCAATAAAGTCATTCAGATTCGTGGCGTTGACATCAATATTAATTTTAAATAGTCTCTCTGAAGGATACAAATTTAATTAACCACGTCCCATATATTTGATGACTTTTTATTAGTAACGTGATGATAACCTCAATCGAGTAGGTACAATAACAATTATTATAATCAGTCGAATGAGCTTTTTTAAAAATAACTTATTAAATTTGTTGGTGTTATTTACATGAATTATAATTTATACGTAAATTCTTTTTTTTCCTGGTATATAAACTGAAGGCCACTGCTATTACGACTTTTGCTGTTAAGGTTTTTCTCTTGTCAAAACACTTTAATTCTCATGTAGGCTACATAATTTACAGAAATCTCAAGTAATAGTTACATTAACAATAAAAGTATTATCTATACTAGGTTTTAAGTTGGAAATCACCGACGTAGATGCAATATTTTTTATTAAACCCCAAATTTACTTTCTTTTATAAGCTTTACTTGCAGCAAAATATACTATATCAACTTGCTACTAACTAACACATACCTGTAAAAACGAAAACTACTTTAGGCCATGGCTTAGCAACAATGCCAGTACTATTTCTGAAAAACGACCTACATTCCTATGCTAATTCATCTCAAGATCATCTTTAGCATTACTAAATCATGTGGTGTTGACATGTAGCTATTTGATTTATACATTATGTTTGCTTTGCACCCTTGATGTTCTGCTAAATAATTTCTATTTGGTATCGTCGAATTCAACTTGGGAAGTTACAACAATTAGGTATTTTTTTCGTTCTGTGTCGTGCATGAGAATTGAATATGAGAACTTCATGGCCATATGGAAAATGGCACAGAAAATGGGCAGTTATTTTTCATTTTTTTTGTCAACAAGATGTTTTCAATAAAGAATATTTTCTATTTTTAAGTTTCTCAAGGTCTTAAAAGTAATCGTTTGTAAAATTCGTCAGAATCTCTGAAGGCTACTTGACTAGAAAACAATATTTATCTAGAAAATTTTAAGGTTATTCCTCGTTAGAAAGAAAAAAAATCTGCTATTAATAGTATTACGAGTAGCGATTTTTAGGGATTACAATGAAAATAAATTAAAATTTAACCACATCAAAATATATATTGCTCCTATCCCAAGGCAAGTAGCTGAAACACTAGTGTTATACAATGGATATCCGAAACAATGACTGTACCATAATCACCCAGACAGACCCGACCACAGATAAGTTCTGTTAGTATGACGTGTACGAGTCATCATTAGGGCTGCCATCTCTAAAATGTTTCAACCAGGACAAGACGTGTGATAGCCCCGGATTTTGGAGCCCAGAACCCGGACAGGCCAATAAAAAAACAGTTAAAAATGTCACAAATCAACTTTTTTTTTGTTGATGTAGGCAAAAGAGCTAGCAGTCTACCTCATAATAAGTGGTCACTGCTGTCCATGGACACTTGTACCACCAAGGGCCACTCATGCGTTGCCGGCTCTGAACGAAAAGGTTCATCCGCCTTTTTAAGATAACCATATCTTAACTATAAGAAAAAAAACCTGAGGAAAGTTCGTTCCAGATCTTGCTGGTACGCAAAAAAAAACACATGATGCCAGGCGTCCAGATTTTGGGCGTTAAACTTCTCTGCGGTGTGTGGTGCTGTAGAGAAACTTGGCCACTGGCATCCGGTTAAATAATTCCTCGAAACACTCCATTGTATAGACGGTACAACACGTATAAGGAGTTGCGTTCTTGTGCGTGTTGTACCGTCTGTGCATAAGGGGTTGCAACGCGTCAGTGAGCTCAGGATCATCGATAAGTCAAACTGCCCGCTTTTGTATCCGGTCAAGAGGATGGAGCTGGTATTGGGGTGCTCCAGCCCAGAGGACCAGTGCTTTGTAAAGTAACACCCGATATTTAGGCTTGAGATACTTACTAGATCTATTAAGCACCCAAGCTTTTTCACACACATTTGTGTCTTTGCTAGGCCAATCAAATTTTGTTGGCTCCAATTTGAGACTTGATCCAGTAACATCTCAATCTCGGACACAAGTCCGTCTTTATACCCTTCTTCTTCCATCCGAGGGATGTTTGACCGACCAGTGTAATAAGTGTCAGTGCTGTCACCACATAGCAACGAATGCTGTTATTGCGTACAGCGTGAGCGACAGAGCTGATCTTTGAGAGAGAAAAGATTGTCGACCCAAAACAGGTTTTTTGTAAACCCGGACTACAAATAAAACCCCGCCCGGACGCTCCCAGGACGCCCCGTAAACTAGGACAAATCCGGGGAAACCCGGACGGATGGCAGCCCTAGTCATCATCATCATCACCCTATTGATGTCCCCACTGCTGGGGACAGGCCTTCCCAATGGATGGAATAGGGAGATTGGGCCATGACCCACCACGCAGGTCCAGTGCGGATTGGTGGGTGCTAACGACTGCAGATGCAGCCGGAACCAACGACTTAATGTGCCTTCCGAAGCACTGAGGAGCTCGAGATAGTAAATTTTTGGTCACCCATCCAATAACCGACCACTGCGAAAGTTGCTTAACTTCAACGATAGTAGCCGAACGCGCTAGCCACTTGCGCCATCGAGCTCTTCAACGACGTATACGAGTATTTGTACCGAATTCATGGCGTTTTATATAGAACACAAAAATATACTTATGGATGTATCATTCATTATAAATATTATGTATTTGTAATCGTTACTCTAGTATAGAGAGCTATTCAAACTTTATGGTAGTGTGAATTTAGTAGCGAGTGCAACTATGCGCAGGTTTCCTATTTTTAGTTAACTACGCCGCGACTGGGGTTGCAACGATATATCGGAATATCGATAATATCGAGACCAAAATATCGATATTTAAAATTCACTGATATCGATAATATCGATATCGGAAATTCCAAAATATCGACATTTCGTAGACTAAATTTGAACACAATAATATCAATTAATTTTCCTGCTATGACTATCTAAATTGAATAATATCGAAATAACTATTGCTTTGAAATCGCAAGAGCTTATAGATGTATTAAAAAAATCTTGAACCCCAAGAAATATACTAAACTGAACTCTTGAGACTGAAAATTTGACAACAGTGTATCCTTGCCATTCTCTATACAGTATGAAGAACTTAAAACTAAATTTAACATCAGTCTCCCCTTGACTGATGTTAAATTTAGTTTTAAGTTTATATAATCATGCCAGAATCGACACCAACTTATATAGGTATAATTGTATACCTAATGGTAACTCATGCACTTAAATAAAATCCTTGCCTCTTTTTCTAGATAATTGTCAACTACTGATTAATTGAAATTTAATATCATTGTAATTTAACACAAAATAAACTTAAGAATCTTATACAAATCGTAAATTTTTTAAGCTCGCCAAGTCAAGAAAGTAAAACTATACCTATCTTAGGTATAGTAATTTTGGAAGCTTTGGGCTTACCGTATTCTGTAGCCATGGGCACGCCCCTGAAGTGTGGGAGACTAAGCAATTTGCGTATTTGATGTGCGCTAAAAAACCGACATAGCTTGGAAAAGCACGAATGTAATGAAAACTTAGCGAAGGCATTTGCAAATGTCGTCCCACATATGCGGGTTGGCGTATTTGTGTTAATGAATGTGAGTGATCTGATCAGGATAATAATTTAATTTTTTGGTTTCCCGTCGTGGCTGAAACACAAACCGTGCGAGCCAATAAAAAAAATCCTGCTTGGCGCGATTTCATCCAGCTTGTTTAACGAAAAAGCTGGCTCAATGCATTTTGCGAGAAACTCGCCAACAAACATATGAATGTGTCACACTTACCCCGTATTCTAATGTCAATAAAAAATAAAAAGGAAAAAATATCGATAATATCGAGTTAAAATGGTCGATATATCGGATATCGATATTTTCCTGACTTCGATATAAATATCGATATTTCAAAAGACTTTGCATCCCTAGCCGCGACTTGCGCTAACTTAACAGCGGCCGTGAGTTTGAATTGCACTTCATCCCATAACACAAATCATGCAGCATTACATTGGCTCTAGCGCTGATTAGTGTGTTAGAAATATTTATTTATTTATTTGCTTTCTTTCAGCGCGGAGTCCAGTTTTTGCTGCGATGTTTGAACACGAAATGGAGGAAAGGAAAAGAAATCGCGTGGACATCACAGACGTTGACCACGAGGTTCTAAGAGAGATGCTCCGGTTCATTTACACGGGGCGCGCGCCAAATCTAGACAAGATGGCCGACGATCTATTAGCAGCCGCAGACAAGGTTATTTCATACGTCCTTTTTTAATACTTTTGTTAAGGTAATTTAAATATTTTCACGTTATCCTATGTATAGTAAGACGGGCAGTCTGTAAGGTACTACCTATTAAAGGTAATAGGATATTTAAACCTTACTGTAGACAGCAATAGCAAGGTAGTCGCGCGCGTCATTTTCTTGCGACGATGCAACGTGGGTAACAGAATAATCAATTAACGGCCAGTTTCAATATTCAACCTCCAGTAAAAGGTAAGAATAATTTGGTTCAATTTCTTAGCAACGGTAGGTAGTTATTATAGTCCTAATGATAAAAATATCTTAGCAACAAAGCTTCGCCTACTCGAGCTTTGTTGCTAAGTAGGCCTGCTTCTTACTGGAGTTTAAAAACTGGCCGTAAGATGACTACAACTACAACTTATGGATGTATCATTCATTATAACATATTATGTATTTGTAATCGTTACTCTAGTATAGAGAGCTATTCAAACTTTATGGTAGTGTGAATTTAGTAGCGAGTGCAACTATGCGCAGGTTTCCTATTTTTAGTTAACTACGTCGCGACTGGGGTTGCAACGATATATCGGAATATCGATATTTAAAATTCACTGATATCGATAATATCGATATCGGAAATTCCAAAATATCGACATTTCGTAGACTAAATTTGAACACAATAATATCAATTAATTTTTCTGCTATGACTATCTAAATTGAATAATATCGAAATAACTATTGCTTTGAAATCGCAAGAGCTTATAGATGTATTAAAAAAATCTTGAACCCCAAGAAATATACTAAACTGAACTCTTGAGACTGAAAATTTGACAGCAGTGTATCCTTGTCATTCTCTATACAGTATGAAGAACTTAAAACTAAATTTAACATCAGTCTCCCCTTGACTGATGTTAACTACAGTTACAGTTTCAATATTCAACCTCCAGTAAAAGGTAAGAATAATTTGGTTCAATTTCTTAGCAACGGTAAGTAGTTATTATAGTCCTAATGATAAAAATATCTTAGCAACAAAGCTCCGCCTACTCGAGCTTTGTTGCTAAGTAGGCCTGCTTCTTACTGGAGTTTAATTATTGAAACTGGCCGTAAGATGACTACAAATTCTTCCAGGGAGTGGCGCGATTCTATAGTTTAGTTACGAGTATAAAACCCGCTGACTAATATCTCTCCTTGTTTGGTTCCTAAATCGTATTGAATAGTTATAGTATCTGATTTTAATACATTGTTTAAATTTATTTCTGCTACTGTGATTCATTTAATTAAATTTGTTCCATTGTTAGATTACATACGATTCATTATTATGACCACAACCCATGCGCTCAATAGGCATAGCCATAATTTGCAACTTCGTTTAAACGTGACTGCAATAAATAATAACCAATAAAATTAGAATAATTTAGAATTCTAATTCCCGAAACGCAGTAAAATTACTGTTCGTTTTAAATCGATGGTCTGTTTCGGCTTGAACGGTTATTAATAATCAATAATTTTTGGCTTTATTTCATCAAAAAGTTACAAGTGGTAGTAAGGGCTAAAGGTAGGTAAGGTAAGGTAAGGTACTTTTATAGGAACTAGGAACATAAACGTGGTGTTTTTCCTGGTTATATTTATATAATACAGTTAAGGCGTAAAATAATAAAGAAATATTAATAAATAAACCACGGAAAACAACATTTATTCGATTCTAAATTATGGGAAGCTTATTCTATGAAAACCAAAGAACGTGTTTAAAATGAAAGTAATTTTGTTTTTATCTCACGAAGAAATATTTTTATGGGTATTTGAATACAGGAACTTTAGAAAAGAAGGCATGAGCGCTGCCGTTGTAGTTCGAACTCATTTCGTAGAGTAAAAATCACAAATATTTATTGCGTTATTGCAAATCACAAATTTCATAAAAATTAAGACTATAGCTTTACTATCCCTTAATTCAGAAACTCTTATCAAATTCAAAGATTTTGAGCACATAGCGAATGCAATGTGTGAATTGATATAATTAAAATTTCTATGGTTTTTGTAATCAAAGCAATGTGCAGTTCAACAAGAATACTTGAACTCTGTCTTATGTAGTTTTAGCTAAGTCGAATTATATTAGCAAAATTGTAGGGCCTCCCCCATAGGACCGTTATTATCTGTCGATAACATCGGATACGTTATTGCGATTTCTGTTTTTAGTACATCATGTATGTGAACGCTTCCGAAGTTATACTCTGCTGCGATAATAACGACGAAAATAAATAATAAATAAATAATAATAATAGCACATAGCCGGGCGGGAGGATTAACTCTTCAAACTGTATACTGACGTGACTTTTTCCCAATATGTATTTGATTGTGAATTTCTGTCATTGGTTCTTTTCAATATCTCGGGACATAAGAATCGCCACAAATAACGCATTTGAAATTCATAAACCCATGCCTTGACACTTACCACAGAATGTAAATTGTTTATATTGAACTAAATTTACATACTTAAGGAAAATGTAGGACAAGGCATTGTTGTTACACTTTGCTCAATGGTCTCTCACAATTTACAATTTATAATACACTTTATTGCTTACTTGATAATTTATAAGCTTTATTCAAATAACCATAATATTGCGCATATTTCAATGCTTAGCATTGTATGTGACATCGGATTTCAACACATTGTTGTCCTGTATTGAAAAAATACACCAATAAAGAACTTTCAAGTCGTTATTATACAATGTATTCGTTGCATTTTTAAATTGTTTTTATCTGTATTAAGTATTCATGTTACGATAGAACATTATCAAAATTATTATTTAAATGTTATTTTACACATAGGGCAATTTGATAAAGAGGGCCGGTTTCACAATGTCCTGAAATAACGATAAATTGTATTGAAAAAGATAAACGGACAGTTCATATATATTCCTTTCAACGACTACCGTCAAAACCATTTGTGTTTGACGGTAGCTGGGTTTATTTAAACGCACTACGATTTATTCATAATTTATTTTTGTGTTTAAAGGGAATTGAATATTGACAATTCCGCAATCGTATCGTCATCGTCGATTTTTATAGAAAAAGCTAGTTATTGTTTATACATGCGATAGGACTGCTACTTAGTTTTCGTAGAGACTTTGATGATGCAATACGATGACGGAGCTGTCAAAATTCGTGACTGGGTCTCTGAATATAAAGTTTTTTGTATTTAAATAGAACTGTCCAAGACTTACTCAGGACACTGCGAAGCCGGCCCCTAAGCGTAGTAACAATGTTGTTTTCTCCTACCCGCAGTACGCACTCGATCGGTTAAAAGTGATGTGCGAAGAGGCGCTATGCCTCAGTCTGTCTGTGGAGACGGCCGCGGACACACTCATTCTGGCAGACCTGCATTCCGCGGACCAGCTCAAGGCACAAACCATCGACTTCATTAACACGTGAGTGCCTTGCATTTATGAATTTAACAAGCGAAGCACAAGTAGGAGTCACTTAATGGTAAAACAATCTCACCGAATTTACGCAGTGTGATAAAGTTTTCCACTTTCAGAAAAAGCTAGATTACTGACTAAAATTGTTAAAATTGCTTTAAAACATAGGCTTTGACCATAATGTGATCTTCAAGGGTAACATAATCAATGTGATTAAACCCTCCATAATAAAATAAGAAAAAAAGTAGGAGTGCTATGTGGCTGATAATGATGATGAATAAAATATTTTTGTTATTGTTGAGCAGGAGTCACGCGACGGACGTAATGGACACGGCGGGGTGGAAAAACATGATATCGTCGCATCCGCACCTCATAGCGGAGGCTTTCCGAGCTCTAGCTACCCAGCAACAACAGATACCACCCATAGGACCACCCCGGAAACGCGTCAAACAGGCGTGAATACAACCCTCACACTACTATAACTATGTAGACTTAACGCAGCTATGAAGTTAGCGCGAATATAACTGCGATAGTAGCAATTGGGGCACCCTTCTATACTATGGTGTAGATATTAACGCAGTATGCTATACAGTATAATTACCGCCCATAGGACCGCCCAGGAAACGGGGCAAGCAGGCATGAATATACTGTAAGAATGTGGACTTAAAACGGTTATGAAGTTAGTGCAGGTATAACTGTAAACGGGGCATCCTTCTTTTACATTGAGTGACACTATCATCATCGGCATATTAATTAACTCCTACCGGGAAGCAAAACATACCTGCCTCGATTTGTGTGGTTCTGTATAGTTTTATCGACGTAAGAAAGACACAACTCTATGTTGATTGGTCGCCTTAACGACGACTGTGCAGTTAGCGAAAGTCATAAAACAGTAAACTGGCGGGGCTGTCCACTAATCTGTATCAGCGTATAGTTGCACTCGCTACTAACTTCATAACTACCATAAAGTTTAGGTCGCACTGTAAATATCTCGCAGTATAGCCTGGCCCTCTGCCACGTGACTACATTCATGTTAATTTTATGTAAATAAGAATGAACTATCAAAAATCACATCACATTAAGTTAATATAAACGTAGTTATGCTGTAATAGGGCAGAATTGCAGCTCCATAGAAAGCGGAATGATCTCGGCAGGCCTATTATCTAAATTGCAACTGATTTGCGAGACAAAAAATAGTCATTCAAAATTACTCAAAAAGTTTTAAAAAGTGAGCAAATACAATACTCCACTGTTATTGTTTTATAGGTCATATTTTATACAGTAAACCAAATAATTGTTTCAGTCGCGTTGCAGTCGCAAGTCAACAATTTCTTATTTATTAGGTTTTGTGACCATATTCGAAAGAGCTTCAAATCGAATTTATGGCCGAGATCTACATCATCTTTCTATATAGTTGCACTTCTGGTTGGTATTCTGTGACACCATCCTCGCCTCAGGCCCCACATACCAAAGATGTACCTATACAACTCCACATTAAACAAAACATAAATATACAACAAACTCGACAAATTCAAAGTTCATTCGCGTTCACTCTGAGAGCGACGTGATGGAATCACCATAATTTAGATAAAATATATACGATTTGATCCCCACAAACTACAGTACTCAAAATGTTATAATAGAACATCATTAGACCTTATAAATAGCCGTGAGGTCAAATAGTTTTGTTTCATTCTACTTTCTTGGACAGATTTATAGATTATAATCAACTTTATGTAAAATAAATAAGCCCTACAAGAAGCCAATTTAAATCATTTTAACCAAAAATTGCTATAAAGTGACATAAATCCTTAGTGTCTGTACATGACTAGTAAATTAAAGAAAACATCAACATCAAAATATTTTTATAACCGTCTATATGAAATTCGCGTGCAATAGTTTAATAGATTGACAACCGTCTTTTTACAATATAAGAGGTTGACCTCACGACTATTTTACAATTAGCAATGTTAACATATGAAGAAGAACCCTAATTCTATGCCGCTTGAAAGTCTTCCTGCAGTGTTGCCACTATTGTAAATTACCAATGATAAAGAGTACTGGACTGATTAACTCGTAAACGGCTAATTAAAACCAATTTGTATTAATGTGTACATAAGTGAAAAATCACGAAGTTTGCGAAGGTTAAGATTCGAAATTGGGAAATTGGTGAAACTACTTTCGTGTCGCTAGTTTTGCAGTGTGAGTTCTCTCGCATTGGAGTTTGGATTGAACGGTCGAGTACCCTATGTTATCGGCTGAGGCGTGAAATGCTGGCAGTACTATATCGCTTTTCGTATTTGTTTAACTAAATTTGTAAGCAGTCTCTCCTTTTCATTGAAATCAAATTCCTTCTTTAAAGGGCGGGCGTGAGGATATACTGCTGTCAAATTTGTTTCAATATTTGAATGCGAATAGCTAGTGCTAGCTTAGTGGAGACGGACTATAGAGGTGTGAGGGCGGCAAATGGTATCGTGCGTCGCTGACTGTTAGCCGGTGGAAGTGTACAGTAGTAGTCAGTCGTGAATCCCCAGATTCACTGCTTCGTTCACTATGATTGATCTCAAGACGATATTCGATCCTAATGTTTTCTCTCGCGGTCGTTTAGTGTGCCGCTTTTAAAGTTATGTATGTACGGTGTGACGTTGGACGCTTTTTGCGCGTTGCAGTTCCGGACAGTAGGCTTCGTTTTTAACTATATTATAATTATCTTATTTTATGTCGTTTCTGTGGATGTTTATTATTATTGTAATATTTTTTCTCTTGCAGTTGTGTTAATGTACATTTTACTAAGTATGATGATGAATAAAAAGTCGTATATGTCATATAAAAGTTAATCGTACGGTTGTAAAGCTCGTTGATTGACTAACTCACTATCGTAAATAATAAAAAAGTGATTCCCAAACGGGGAAGTGTAATTATTTAAATTTTATTGTATATTATTATTATTAAGAGTGCTGAGTTAGCATTCTAATAAAACTTGATGTTTCTCCATAGAAATCGGTCAATAAAACACGAGCGAAACTTGTTAGGAGTTTAAAAGTAGCACTTTTGAACATATTTTGAAGTAGTATGGTAATTGAATGCAATAAATCTGTGTAAAGTTTGCAACACAGTGTTGTACACACATTGCTGCCGGATTAGTTTTATGTATGTTAATTGTAAAATAGTTGACTGTAAACAATATCCGACATGTTGTGTACAACACCGTACTACGCTTAGAAGATGTAGGTGACTCGAGTGATTGTAATAAGTCTATTGAACTTGTTGGTATTGTATATAGATGAGCTACGATCCCACCATAAAATATTTCTAAGTACTAACGTAAGCGGTATCACAATTGACACCATTCGATTTTATTGTATTTGTAGAATGTAATTCCAATGGCATATTGTGATTTTTCTTATAAATTTCCATAGTTTTAACTCACATGCTTTTTGTTTTGTTATTCGTAAGTAGGTGTCACTTCAGTTATTTAAAATTAAAATGTATTGTTGTTGATTTCGCTTTATCAATTTGTACATTGCGTGTCACATAATGTCGATTTTCTATTCGCCCTTCGATTTTGCTCACTTTCTAAAGAACTTTATTTTAAATAAACTACTAAATTATTGTTTTCCTATTTATCTATTCTTTTTAATTTCAATTTTCTTGAATGAAAATGGGAGGAAGTTTTCTTGTATTACCGAAATATATGAATGTTTTATTGATACCCATTTGTAGGTATTTAATGAATACCAATATTAGTTATATACTGTGGCCAATAAATAATATTTAATACCATTTTATACCCACTTCCCATTTACATAGATGACAGCGGTTTTTGTGTAATTATAATAATGACACAACATTTGTCAAAAATAACTGTGATTTTCGAAATTGTCAGTAAGTTGAGCAAATAAATGAAATGATGTATTATAAAACACCTTTAGTTTCTTTTGTAACAAATTCTGCATAACCCAATTCAGATACCTAACATATAAATATATTTATGTGGTCCGCCAAAATTACCGCAACTTTCTTTCAACATTGAACTATCACCCATGTTGCCAGCTACATCAATTAAGAAATATAATAGAAAACTGGTCAAAATTTACGGTTACGGGACAACAATCACAAAAAATACGTATTTGAGAGTACTGCTAAGTGGACAATGGTGTCAATTCTGGTGTGATTCTCAGAACAATATTACAATGACAACAGTGTTCTGGTCATTCTGTATACAGAATGAAAAGGAGAGACTGATGTTAAATTTAGTTTTAAGTTTAGAGAATCATGACAGAGGCGATACCAATGTTACTCAATACTTTTTTCCAATTTCATACAAAATATTGCTTGACATGGGGTTGTCCACATTCTTTATTTACTACTGAACCAATTAATTGTTTCAAAGAATTGTTTTAAAAAAAATCCTTTGAACATGAATCTGCTTTAATTTGATATATTAAAGAGCTTTTAATAATAGGGAAGATGCAATATTTTTGTTTTCATTTTAAAGAATTCCATGTAGAGTAAACCACAGATTTATTAAAAAATTAAAACATTGTAATTTATCGGAATAAATGCGGTTTAAAATTGGCAGTTTAAATTTTCGCGCGAAAACGGACCTATGGTTCCGATGACGTCACTCCTGTCCGTCATCGTACTTGTTCGTCGCTGGCTTTCATACTTTTGCATATTTTTTCGATTTTGGAGTTATTTTTTTGTAAAAATTTAAAATGGACTATCCATCAACATCACGTGATCATAACAATACCACTGATATTCCGAAAAAAAGCCGTGTTGACTCATGTTTTGTGCCAATGTGTCCATCTCCTTCAACAAAGTTTCCAAATAAATTGGTTTTGACTTTTGATTGAATTAATTTAATTAACCCAAAACTGAGAAAAAAGTCGATTCAAGCTGCGAAGAAAAATGACAATTATTCTCCAAAGACCATTATTCGATGCTGTAAAGATCACTGACGTTAGTCGGCGAATATACTTGTAATATGCTTAATTAATCTGCTTGTACGTAAAAACGCGTTAGTAACCTACCTAATACTTACAAAACCTGTCTATAACATATTTTTAACTTTACAGTTGGAGAATGACGTCGAAAATTGGATTAAGTTTAAAGCGTCACAATCTTCACATTGGCAGGACTGAACCAATCTTTGCATTTCATTTAAAATAACTGCAACACGATAACCTTCTTTACGTACTTTATGCTCCGGAGTAACTCGACTATTTACTGTACATAATTCTCCATCTCTTTTAATTTGGTCATAGCCGATTGCGTTATCACCGTAAGATTCTCTTGTTGAGCTGAAATAACTGCTACGTGTAGAAGCCGCTGAATAAAATACAAAGTTTAACAACTATGATTTATACATACCGTAGTAATTTAGTCTCTTTCATTTCTACACTTGAAAACTCTGCACTTTGGACAAACAAAAGTTACAACCATGTCATCACTAACTCTTGGTAAATTCCTGGAGTCTGCTTTGATAAGCCCAACTTCCATTTTTATTAAACAACGCAATTAATATTCCCATAAAATAATATTCACTTTTACAACCATAATCTCAAATAAGTTGTCATAACAGGAGTGACGTCACTAAACGCTGATTGGTGTTTTAAAAGACGTTTTTTTCAAGTCATTTTTAAATCGTAATTATTGTTAAAAAACAACATTATTTATAAAATAAAAACGTTGCAGTGGCCTTTCTTTGATATTTTTTTAACATTTTAATCATAAAATTTTCATAAATATTATATTTGCATCTTCCCTATTGAAGATACTAGGATTGCCAATCTCAAGTTTAAAAAACCAGGACAATTCAGTTTAAAAACAGGACGCATTAATAGAGTTGCAATAGTTAAATAAACATCAAGTGAAAACAGCTGAAATGAAATTCAAGTTATTAAAATAATCACATGTAGCGTAAAAAATTGAGAAGAGGCGCGACAATTTTAAAATTTAAAAACCCAGGACGCTGCTTAAAAACTATTCAGGACGTCCCAGGACACTACAAAAACTAGGACATGTCCTGGGAAAACAGGACGGTGGGCAACCCTAGCCTATACCTACCTATTTATTATTTGGTACTAATCTATCCCGTAATTTAACAAACCTACTTGTGTAATTTATTAAAATAATATCAGACATCATATGGACGGAGCCAGAAGTTTAACAGCCTGAATGACGGATATAACTGTTTTCCATGTATCTTTGTCTAACCTGTAGAGTATACCTATGAGTGAAAGAACAGTTGCCGCAGTTGACGTAAGTTTGACAATGCTGAATATCGGTGTAAATTATGTCCTACAAGTGTCCGAGTAATATGCTCATAACATTGCGGTCACGTGTGCTATTTTCAGCTACTAAATTTCGACCGGAGCGGAGTGAACCACGATCGAGCTCTGTGACGTCACAAGTTTCGGCCGCCGCGCCGGTGAATATTGGCTACCATAAAATAAGTTATAAAATCGCAACGAATGAACCTATTTCGATGATTTAAAAGTATATTAATTAAAAAGCTTATTAGATCATTAAACTGTTGATTTTGAGTTGATTTGCTGTCCTAGTAATGTTTGTCCTAGTAAAGTTCCTCATCGTTTTTATTAGTTCTATTTCATTGGTATACCCTGTTTCTGAATTATACCAATTGTTAAAGTTAATGAATAATATCTAAATAATTTGTTTTTATTTAAAGTTAAGTTATTAGTTTAAAGTAATACTTACAGTGAAAGCTCCTTATTCGCGAGGTAGACTTTCCTGAAATATGCCGCGAATACAGAAACCGTGAATGGAGTAGGAAAATTTCCGGTACGCGGTAGCATAATTGGTCAATGCATTCGCCCGGATTGCGAAGGGTGCGGGTTCGAGTCCCGTCTGCTGCTTGGTCCGCGTGGATCTTTTTCTATTAAACCTTTTCTATATAAATAATGTTTGTTTTTTGAAGTAAAAAACCTCTTTAGCGGCGTTGTACACTTTTTTTGTATGGGCAAAAAATGTTAAACTCGCGTCAGGTTAAACACGTGGGCTGATCGCATCATGATAAAACACACGATAAAATTGGAAAGGTGGTTGACTTTCAATATAATGGACGAAACAGTAATATTTTATTTTATCGTTTTAACATGTACCAAAACCCATCAAGCATTCAATACGCAAGTTTGGTCGGCTCACGCGCCGCCTCTCTAACTTATTAGTCCGTAATTTCATTATGGAACTTAGGTTGATTTTCCTTTGCACAAACGAATCGATCGTTATCGCGCGAATCTGTGTCCAAGTTGTTTTGAAGGTTTTTACTATAACATGGTTTAGTTAGAGTAGAAATTAACTTCTTTAGCGGCGTTGAACACTTTTTTAGTATGGGTAAAAAATGTTAAACTCGCATCAGGGCACGTGGCGTAAAACGAAAACAATAAAATTGGAAAGGTTGTTGACTATCAATATATTGGACGAAACATAGTAATATTTTATTTTATCGTATTATAATATTATGTCTCTATCTAGGACGTCTACGTGGCAGCTTTATTGCGAAGAAAATGCATTTTTTTACAATAGATGTCGCTAGGTACGCTTAAATGTGATTCATGTAAGTTGATTTCTTTACAATAGATGTCGCTAAGTGCGGTTAAACGTGATTCAATGTAAGTTGATTTTTCTGAGAGATAAACTTTTTTAATGTTATATAAATTGTCATGTTTGTGTACGATAGCGCAATGAATAAATATTGTATTATACCAAATACATGATAGTACTTTTATACTGATAATTAAAGCAATTTGTGCAAAATTGTTCCCTAACCATTCCAAAATATCAAAAATGCACAAGGTTAATATTCAAGTTTTCACTTCTGCCGGCACTCCCGGAGTGCAACTCGTCGTTTTTTTTATCCCACATGTGGGGCTGGTCTTTATATACTTCGATCACTCGTGTACAAACTTCATGCTCATTATGATCTGCCGCCATCTTGATCGATATATGTGTGCTCCATGTGACAGCTACCAACCAACTGATTGAGAAATTGCCCCAATCGCGCTACACACGCGGCAACGTGCAGGGCGGCAGGGACAATGTAGAGACCAAGGGTGGTCTCGCGCTCCTGCCGTCCTGCCGCAGGCCCGATTTAGAAAATTGCCCCTGCTTGCCTACAAACATCACAATTCAGGAGGCAATTAAGGTTCATCCCCACTCTTACACCCTAGATTGTCCCTGCGGCAGGCATGTCAGTAAGCGCTTTTACCAAAGGACATGGCGGAACGTCTAACTAATACATAAGTGATATCATCAATGATTAGGTATCATTGATGATATATTAACTAATACTACTAATACACTAAAGAATTTACTTTAGGCATAGAATAATAAAATTGTTTTACAGAAAAGGAGAACCATTTTATGCTTTGGCGCTAGCATAATGACAACTTATAGTCCAGGCAACGAAAAGGTATAGAGGGAAATGCTTAGAACACAATTTTTGACTTCGTTACTTTGTTAGTACTAGTTAGGAGGTAAACAAGCTGGACGAATTTTGTGGGATTTGGATGATGTTTATAGGCGAACAGCATCTATGACGGGTATGTAATCGTGTAACTATTTGTTGGTAATCTGCCTGAAGTTACAAATTTACTCAATTAACGATTTTGAGACCAAAAAAGGCATTGGTGCCAATTCTGGCGTGATTCTCTAAACTTAAATCTAAATTTAACATCAGTCTCTCCTTTTCATGCTGTATAGAGAATAACAAGGATACACTGTTGTCAAATTTAAGTTTAGGTTTAGAGAATCATGTCAGAATTGATACCATTGTTTACATTGCACATTTTTAGGTTAGATTGACATTGTAAATAGGTAGTATTGTAGTACGACCATTTCTTTTGATACGTTATTATGGTTCAACTCGGTCAGGTTTTCTACTAATTTTGAATTAA